GAGGACGGGGCACCACCGGCGAGAGTTCTTGTCGGCGACAGGAGATGGCGTAGGGGTAATCAAGTCGGCCAGATCTACGCTTTCGTTGTCTTAAGGGAGCGGTGGCAGGAGTTGGCGTAGGACCATCGCAATCGGCCAGAGGTGCACTGTCGTCCGAGATGGCGAGGGCACAGCCGGTCGGCACGGAATCCAGCGAGCGAGAAAGGAGAACCGAGCCGGGCCCAACCGATGTGCACTCGGCGATTTCCTGAGGACCCAAACTGGGCGAAGCGTTCCCAGCGTCCCATGTAAAGTTCGCCCCTAGCAGTAGTGGGCATGCCCTTACTTTGCTTCTACACCCAGTTCCTCAGGTTCTTCTCCGTTGGCATCACCTGTGAGGCCAGGGACTTATTTCACCAGTTAAATGGTACTCCTTTCCTTCAACAAACAAAACACTGTCTTCTGGAAGCATGTGGCTTCCGACATTCGATTTGTTGGTGCTTTGTTCGCCTAAGCAGTACCTTTTTTTTTTCATTAGGTTAAGCGCATGCTCTGTCTTGAAATTGTTTTCAAGGAGGGGAAAGTTTGCGCATGTACTCTGTAGCCCTATATTACTAAATATTTGGGGTTATAAAAATTATTCAATAAAGCAAAGCACCGCTCGTTTCATGGGCGATCACCCATGATGGGTTGCGCCAGGGTCAGCCAACCCAACCAACCAACCAACTTGCATGAGCACGTCTCTGTGCCACAACGTTGGAATACCTCTCATTCTCTCCCTTTCTCCTTGCTGATATCCGAGCCCATGAAAAGCAAAAAAAAAAAGATTAAAAGGTCAGCCTGTTCATGAGCACAAACCACGAGCGTACTTATCCAGGGTTGTAGGCAAGAAGTTTTTTCTGGGGTTCTGAATTCCCTTTGTATGTAATCTGCCAGGTGTCAGCATGTGAGCGCTTGTGTATACATATACGAAATAAAATAATATCTGGGCGGTTGGAAGTAGAACCTCCCAAACCACCTCGCTTCGCTACAGAAATTAGCGCTTGAAATATCTATTCTCTTCCAGTTCGGCCCAAACTCGGTTAGTATTGAACATCGGAAAGTAACCGACAGCGCTGCCCACGGTCCTGTTCCAGAAGGTTTGCGATCGAGAAGCTCTTTAACTCACCAGACACTTGAGCCTGCAAGCTAAAGGTGAGCTTTCACGGGCAGACGTCAAAAGAAAACGACGAAATTCGAAAAAAAAAAATGCATTGTAACGGCTTTCTTACGAGGTTCGTTCTTATCTGTTTCAAATCAGGAACTCGTTCACAGATTACTGCCTTTCATAAACAGCGTCACCCCTCATTTTCTCCTGTGTAACGGTATACTTTTCCCCCCAACATTTTCCCCGTTCAGCGCACGTAGGATGGGTTTCTCTGCGAGAAATGATGTCCCCGAAGTGATTTTCGAGAAGACTTCGAGGTGTGGGCGCCTTCACTCGAAGAGGGCGATGTGTTAACTCGTTATCGTCATGTGTTAACTCGTTATCACATATAGGCGTTCCTAGTCCACACGCTAAGTGCTTGCCGCAAACACGTGCGCGGAACTTCGGCTCATTGTCACTTCTAAGCTAGCTATGTAAGCCATGCGTTGGGATATCTTCACTATATCCTTGAAGTTTAACCGTAAATGTGCATCTACGACCTGCTCTTCTGCGTGCGCTGTGCTCTAATTGTGGCACACAGCACCACCGAAAACAGTGGTCACGTTTTCCAAACTCTTATTGTTTCTATATAGATCCCAGTTAACATGAATTGGTTTCGAAACTAAACTGATTTAAGGGAAAGTAAAAAGAAAGAACACATGCTCTGTATGCCAGCTTTCCGTCTTTAGAGTAAGGTTCCGTGAAGAAAAATGGCATGACGTGATCGTCGTTGCATGTCGACTGCATGCAGCACCGCAAGAAGTAGTACTACAATGGCAAATCAGTTAATCACATTCAGGGTATTATTCCTGTGAACTGAAAAAATTGCGAAAAACTGAAGGATATATATACATGTACATTAAAAGGGTCAAAACGTGAGCTTTTTATAATGACGTCATCGTAAAAACGTGTAGCGCGGACACACGGTGCAAGAAAGACACCAGGACTTTGCCCTGAACAGTGCAAACGTGTCCGTGTTGGTTTTTACGATATACAGCGTCAATTTTTATGAAAGGGAACATGGTGACGCGTGACCTGCGTGCTGCGGCGATTGCTGGCGGCGTGTTCAAGCGGGAGCAACAACGGTCTCTTTTCGCGTCTTCTCGCGGCGAGGAAAACAACCACATTTATTGCAGATACAGAACGGCAGGATTGCAACACCTCCCTCTTAGAGCCGATTACCGGCTTTCGCGCGATCGCCTTGAATGGGGGGGGGGGGGGGGTCGCAATCTTGCCGCTGGTTCCTTATCAGCGGCAGGATGTCTGTTCACACACATATACATGTGAACATACAAGTATGGGCGAACCCCCACCCCACCGAAAAAAGTTTTCTGGCTAATGCCCTGGGAGCACCGACGCAGAGATGGTCACATCGACACGGCGTTACAACTAGTAATCAACACAGTAGAGGAATATCTCGAGGGAACGGGACTACGATGCTCACAGAAAAAATCCGAACTCCTGCTCTACCGCCCCACGCACAAGTGTCGGCCACTTTGGGCTAGAGGAATGGCGGCGAGGACCAGACGAGAATACAAAGAGATCAGGCTACGCACGAGTAATGGAGCAACGATCCCGATAGTAAAAAGAATAAGGGTCCTCGGCATGATAATCGAGACAAGCGGAGCTAACGGCGAAACGATCACTAAAACCCAAGACTACTAACGCCTTGAGAGTTCTCAAGAAGGTCACCAGCAGAAGAAGCGGAATGAGAGAGGATAGTCCCATACACTCTTTCGTCATGTGTCATATTGTGTACGTTGCGGTATTTCACAATTGGTACAAGGCAGAAGAGGGCAAGATGAGCGTCCTTATCCGCAGAGTGTACAAGGTGGGACTGGGTCTACCCGAGTCCACTAGCACGCACCCGCTGCTTCAACTTGCATTTCACAACACTTTGAGCGAAATAGCCGAGGCGCAGCGCACTTCACAACAGGGAAGACTATGGGGCACGACAACGGGACGCTAGATCATAGAAAGTCTCGGTATCCGTTACTACACCGAACAAAGCCAGAAAGTCGCTGTGCCAGACGCTATCCGGGCTCAGCCAATTCCACGCAACGTTCAACCGGAACACAACCCGGCCAGAAGAGTGGCCAGGGCAAGAGCTCTCCTGCGCACTTATGCCGACGAAATGAGAACGCGGTTCATTGACGCCGCTCAATACGCAGACCACTCGCGATTCGCAGTCATGGTCATCGATTGGAAAAGAGAAACGAGAATATCGGCAAGTATTCGATGTGACCACGCACAAGAAGCGGAGGAAGTAGCAGTGGCGTTCGTGCTCCGGATCCGTCATGCACTACTGTCCTCTAAAACTCGAGACAAGCGGTAAGAAATTTCGCCAAAGGATGAATATCGCAACGAGCGGCCAAAGTCCTGCGCATTAGGAAATTTTATCAAGAGGTAGAGCTTCAAACCAGACTACTGTGGTTCCCGGCTCACATGGGAGAGGTATCGGAGACACACCGCAACCTAAACGAGACAGCACACGCCAAGGCGCCGAGCTCGTGAACCGCGCCGGCGACCGTCCTCTATTGGGAAACACCAAAAAACCGTGTGACGACCTGTAAAGAAATTACCAAGGCTTTCTACCTGGCCCGCCGAACCTTTCCTCCACCAAGCGGGAAGCTGAACAGGATGCAGGCGGCCCTACGACAGCTGCAGACGCACACGTATCCCAACCTATCGCTGCTTAACAGTCTATACCCCAATATATGTCCGACGAATCTATGCAAGATATGCCATATTGAGGTTGCCACACTAAATCGCATGCTCTGGGACTGCACCAGAAATCCACAAGGTGCTAAATCTGGAAACATTCCGCCGCGGTTGGCCGCTGCCCTGTGCAGCCCCAGCCTCGGTGACCAACTCTGGGCCGTCCAGCAGGTTTGCGAGGTGGCGCTCAGGTATGGTGGCTAGCTCAGGCACGGTCTTGACGTCCCCACGCGGGAGACCTGAGGCCCGGTCGGCGAAAGCTCTGCCGGACTTCCAATAAAGTTGTTACCAAGCAACCAATGCCCTGGGAGCAGGTTGATTCATTGATATGTCGGATTTAACGTCATAAAACCACCATATGATTATGAGAAACGCCGTAGTGGATGGATCCGGAAATTTCGACCACCTGGGGTTCCTTAACGTGCACCCAAATCTGAGCACACGGGCCTACAACATATCCGCCTCCATCGGACATGCAGCCGCCGAAGCTGGGATTCGATCCCACGACCTGCGGGTCAGCAGCCGAGTACCTTAGCCACTAGACCACCGCGGCGGTGCCTGGGAGAAGGTAACCATAAAGTAATTAGATTCATATAAGTCTTAGGTCTAATCGGAAGCGTATTGAACGACAGGAGAACGAGACGACGTACAGTCGCATCCGAATGTTTAGGGTGCGTGACTCGACACAAAGCAATATCATATTCCTTTTGTTCCGGTTGCTTAAGCAGGCGGCCTCAAATTTAGATTTCAGCCTATTCCAAACACCCTATAAACATTTATTGATCAGTTCGACTGAGTTCAGTCACAAATTGCTGAAACATCCAATGCTTTAGAAGACCTTCGGGGTCGACTGTACATTTTAAATGACCCCTTTGCCGCTCCTTGTTAAGATGGCGCCATCTTGTGTCACCGTAGAAATACCAATTCAATTTTTTTCTCTATAAAAGTTTTTTTACTGTTTTTATGGCTTTAGTTCAAGCAAAACACTTGAATATCTAAATTTTTTTGTTAGATAACTGCGGGAACATGTAGCTAAAGAAGCAGACGATATAAATTTGCTAGAGGGCGGTTTCGCAGAACGGGATGCAATAGTCATCGACACTAGGCCTTTCTACTTTTGTATGACGTTTATTGTCCCTTGCTGGTGTTGTGTTACGCGACTATTATTTTTTGTTCTTCGCCGCGAAACGTTCCAAAGTGCAATCTGAGGCGCGCGTGTAGACTCAGTGACAGTTACGCTTACCATTTGCTTGTTCTTCACCCAATTAAATCTTAGTCGTTTAAATCTGATAGCTCCGCTGCAAGGCAATCCACTGAAGAGCGTTGATAAGCGGGGGTGAGTACGAAAGGTAGGGCTGCAAACGACATGGCATTGTTAGCTGGCGGGTGTGTCGGAACGTGCAGAATCAGGCGGTTAATATGGTATTGCTCATAGTGCTAATAGTGTCTAGCTTTGACGGCTAGCCGAGCAATGAGCTGTCGCACGTGATGGTGCATGTCGAGAAGCGATTGTACGGTTTCGTTTTTATTTGCATTTTCGTCGGTGTTCCGAAGCACGGAGGTAAGCGGGATGACATTAACCTTTAAAACGTGACACATGTGTACTCGTGCATAAATCGTTCCGACGACTTTGGAACTTAAGCGAGACGTATGCGTTCAAGATTTCCACGTTTCGGACCGTTCGGGCGCGGGCCCAGCGTGCGAAGGCTGCGTTTCCCGCACCCGTAAAAATCGTGCGGTTCGAAAAAGTGCGTAACGCTAATAGAGTGTAATCGTGTTTCGTAGTTTGTCTTGAGGAATGTCCACCTGTGCCTGTTTCGAACGCACTGTCGTTAAAGTGACGAAGGTTGCGGGTATGCCGTGGACTGAAAATCCGTTTCCCGCGTTTTGCAAGCCTTCGCGTCTCCACCTATTCTGCTGACCGCGTAGCAGCCCGATAGAAGTCTCACTACGCGACCTGAAAGAGACAATGCCTTGACTTTTTCGTGCGCTTAATTACCGTCTAATATCAAAGGCGGGAGTAGATTAGACAGCTCTCGTGACTTGCAGCACTCATTCGTCAACGTGGTCGACATCGCGTCGGTTGACGTGACGCGTATTCTGCGCTCACTGCGCCTTCGGGCTGGGATTCTGTTCGGTATGCTCGCCGTGCGTGCGCAAAGTATTCAGGCTTAAGGAGTGATCGGACAGTTGTCAACGGTCGTTCTCGTAGGACGCAACGCCGTATTTAGGAACGTGCTTCTGTAAGCTTTTAACGACTTGACCTTTGTGCAATGTGGGAGCTTTCTCGTACTACATCAACAACTTCTGCTGCGCGTTTTACGTCATTTGGGACTTGATACATGTATCCCAGACTTGCGGGAAGCGCTGGGGCGTCGTCCGGTGTTTGTTTCATCGATTCCGTCATTAGTGTCGCCTATAATTGCCATTTTATAATTTTCACGCGCACTGTGGCGCTACTTCGTTCGCTGCTGTAGCGATAACGAAACTTTGCCGTAATGTTCAACTTTTCTTAGCACCGCGAAAGTTGTCAGCTAGGATTTGGTTGGACTTGCACCTCTTAGATGTGGAGTAAGGTTACAATAAAAAAAGCACAAACAATTGGTTGAAAAAAAAGTTTCTACACACATGTAGTGGTAAGTGGGCAATGTCCTAATGGTGATCCACACATTTTCTAGGACTGGAAGCTTTCATATGTAAGCAGACATTTACGCCTTTGTCTAAAACGCTCAAATGCTGCGTGACATGGCAGTGAACTATAATGCAGAAAACTTCGGCTTCATTCTTGTACTTATCAAATTTCGGGCCACTTATTTCTATAACGGAGACTGCGTTATCTCTGATTTTGACTTTTCACATGTTAAAGTTTAGTGTGCAAGGATCTGGCAGTCGCGCCTCATTCACATGATCTGACACATTGTGATGCAGGCAGATGAAAGGGGCAAACATGTGACAGCCTAAACTGATTGCATTCATTTGCTGTCCTGTCACATTTCTATTAGTACTAGCGATGTGTTCCTTGAGCTGAAGCTACTGCTTCTTTCCCTTAAACTTTTTGCTTGTATGCGTAGTCGTAGTACTTCCTGTTTCTATGTATGTGTGGTGCCTAGCTTAAATGGCACGGCTGGTGGCCAACATATCTTTACACGGCAGTTCTCCTAAGTTGTGAATATGGGCACCTATGATGCTGTTAGGTGTTCCTTACGTAATATGCAAAATTAATTTGGACTTGAAATTATTTTGATAGATTTAGGTGCACGTGAAAGTTCCCCAGGTGGCCAAATATTCGAAGCCTCTTCTCTACGGTGCCTCTTAATCTTGTAGCGGTGTCGGATAGTTGTGCCAAGGGAAGGACAAATGCCAACATAAAAACATCACGGTGTTTTCTTCAGCCAGCAGAAGCATTGGGGAGCACTCTAACGCTGCGCTCGTCTGGTTGGTAGAGCAATAGTTATCTTGAAAACTTGACAGCCAGATTTTATAGCCACCGCTGGTGACTTATGCTTCTGGCATTGCTGTGGTGGTGTTGTGGCTAATGGGGATGCAGTGCAGCCGGGGCAGTGCCTGGTGCTTGTGCCCTGATCACGCACCACGCCCGATTCGCTGGCTGCAGACGATGTGCTGCAGGCATTGTCATTGCGCAAGCGGAGAGGGAGCGTAATCTAGCAGCACTTGTCTGCGACTCCTCTTGTTTGCCAGTAGATGCTGCCAAAAGCAGATGTGTTTTCTTTAACCGACGGTTGATGGTGCTGCGGATAGCCGCCGCAGAGAGTGAACGCATGCTCGCGTGTTCCCTTTCGTAAAGGACGACAGTCTGCATATCTAGTGGTGTGAACAAGGCAGTAAGAAACCCCTGTTGGTAATCTACTTGTTGACAGCAGTTCTGGCTGGCGCAGGTCACAGTTTTGCATATTGCTGTTTTCGTCTTGGGTTCACCTCGAACAATGTTATTATTAGTCTGGGGAAATTGTTCCGCTGTATGTCTTGTCCGGACCTGTCCTGCATTGTTGTGCAAATTGGGCTTTGTAAGTGTGCCTATCATGTGTCTAAGTTGCTCATCCTCACTGAAGTGTAAAAAATAGTCTTTAAATTGATGCACCTTACTCCAAGAACAGTGATGGCAATTTTGCCATCCTCACTTCTATAATATTAAGAATTTCACACTGAAATCTCAGTGTGCTGTTATGGACTGCAAAGTGTAAGTTTTGAATTTTGACAACCTTGACACAATGCAATTTCCATAAACTTGTGGTGTCAAGTTCTAAGCCCTTGAAGAGGACATTACATAAATTTCACCAGATGGTGTCTGCTAGGACTGCATATGTTTGAGTAGATGTCAAAACTTCAAGGTGACACTGCCACATGCTTTTTCATGTTGCACATTTTCTTGCCTACCAAACATCATCTTGTATGCATGGTTATTTAGTGTTTTCTGATATACAAATTCAGTACTGCAAGCAAAATCTTTCTAGTCCCTTTCTAGATCATTATTTAACGTCTTGTCTCTTTCTCTCCTTCTACAGGTTGGTTTAGGGGTGACATAACTGTTTAAATAAAGTACGAAGGCATCCACGGAAAGTTTGTAAGCATAAAGTGATTTTTTTATTGTATTGTGCACTTATGGTATTTTCTGCGCACAAACTATGCTCACACCATAACGTGCCGTTAAAGTTGGTCTATAGTCTTATTCTATGATTTTTTTTGAATGTAAGTAGTTGTATTAAATGCAAATTTAGTCATGTGCATCAAAATTTGATTGTACACTTCAGATTATTGCAATTGAGAAAGAACACTATAGGTGTACTTGCTTAGTGCAAGTTTATTCAGAAAGGTCCCATCCACAGCTGCATGGAATGGGCAACAAAAATGTCGATTTTTGTTTGTCACATCAGTGTTGTTCTATTGCTATTGCTTAGTCTGAAACTAAGTTGTTGATTAAAAAAAATGTGTTCTACACTTTATTGCATTCACTTCGTGTGTTTTCTGCAAGGTGTCTGTGATGATATTGCCAGGTGTGCACACTGTCCTGCACATTTACATTGCTTCCCTAGGTCACGGTGCAAGAAAAACAAAGCTGTAGACATTCTCTTCCTGCTGCATCAGAGAGCGCGTCGAGATAATGTTCGACGTTAGTACATTTTCTGGCCCCAGTTTCATGGCACTTAAGCGAAGGGGCGTTGCCACGATCGGGCCTAAAAGGACCAAACGTTACGAGGCAGACGCACTTTCTTCTTTTTCTTTATCTTGCTCATCCCTATTTTTTTATTACACCATGCACGTTAGCAACTACAGCTAAAAATACATGCCGCATTTTTGCGAACAAGAAACATTACGCACGGTGAACGCCGCAGTTGCTTCCACAGTGTTGTTTCGCATGCAACACCTTTATGGAAGCTAGGTGCGCAGATCGTAGTCTGTAGTGCATGTGCTGGCCGCAGCTGCGTGGGGGGCACTCCAACGGGGAGGCTTAGAGGGATCGAGAGCTCCAAACAATATATGGACGCCCTGTGGGGCTGAGTGTCTACACCTGAATTATTTTTCTTACACCGTGATCACCATAAAGGCTGTCTTCTAATCCCATTTCGGTGTGGAGAAAAATAGGTCTGTTTTTTTGTTGTGGTATCGGGACGCACTCTTTGCAAGTCTCACTAAATGGTACGTGCATAGCATATGGTAACAAACCTAATGAGAGGAGACGCAGTTCATGTCTGGTGACCAGACCAGGCAATCATTGTTTGCGTGGCTGGTTGAGAATAGTGTAACACTCTTTTGTGAACACAGTTCCGCTGTTTGTTTATTTATATTATGTTCAGTATTGCACATTTCTTTTTGACATTGGAGGCTGGGTACGCAGAAAGTAACCTTCTCAGCTCTTCAGAACCAGTGTTCCCATGTGCTCCATTCAGGTGCTAGTACAGACGCTGATGTGTTTGCGCAGATGTGATGCGTTGATAAGCTGAAAGTCGGCGGTTCGATTCCATTCGCAAGGGCCATGTTTTCAAAAGGTCGAAGTGCAAGAGCACTTAAGTGTACTTAGATTTTAAAGCACACACGAAAGGGACACCAAAGGCATTAAGTCGATGTGGACAATAAAATGCTATTTTAAAAATCTTGCTGTGCACTTCAGAAAATTGTGCTCAGACAGGCAGGCTACTCTTGTCGAAATGCTGATGCGTGCAACATTGCATGCGCAGCTTCTCTTTCAGTATCCAAAATCTTAAGGGTCTATTTACCACTAGTCTAAAACATGTTCCCTGTCCTAGAGTGAGGAGCTGCGATGTTCATGTGCCCTGCCACTCTTTACTGCACTACAGGGGGCATTACGTTTTATTGTGGATACCATATCCGGTGTGCGTGAATGATATTACATCATGCTTTCACTTGCACTTAGTGAGTTTCAAAAGTGAGCAAGCCCAGCAGCAGTGCCATGTAGCGATATTGAACTCGTAACACTAAAGCAAGACGTGCAGAATTGCTCATTCACTATCTGTTAATGCCATCTAGCCCAATAGCCTAGTCTTGTAGAGTGATACTGAAACTAGTGTGCTAGTGGCACTGAGCAGCGTAAATATGAAATGTTTGACCACCCGCGTCAGTGTAAGTGGCACCAAACGGTAGTAAAACTGATCACCTGCGTCATTGTCAGTGTTAATGTCATACTTTTTTCTCTGTAGAAATAATATTGCGCAAATAGTGTTCTGTGTTGTATGACTACGTGCTTTCAATGTGGATTATGTAGGGCAGTTTATGTATCTGTGAGATCGCTTTTGGTTTTTTCCTTGTCGCTCTTCTCAGGAGATTACATCCCAGCCATGTGGTGTGGGGATTGGAGCAAGCTACCACAGGACTGCATCCGCATACTGGGCGCACAAAATGGCCCTGTACAAGAGGTGTGCTTTGTGTCTCTCAGCCTTGTCATAGGTGCTAAAGTAGTGTTTAAAAAATTATGCCATCTTCCATTAAAGGGAACCATGTGTGGATGCGAAGCAGCGGGCGCTAACGCTTACACTGGCGGCGGCGTAGCGCCAGGAGAGAAACCTGGGGAGGTGCAAATCACGCAGTGATGGACTGGTGTTTCCTACGGGAACATGCCAAGCGCTGCTAGTGGGCAATGAGAGACGGATGACTCCGATTAGGCACATAGTCTCGCAGTCTGCTATTGGTTTGCGTGCACACGCTGTGAATATCTATCCAACAACGCAAAGGAGAAATCTCCCACTGGCACTACCTTGGTGGTCAAGATGCAGTGCCTATATACTGAGGGGTCTGTGAACGGTTGTGCAGCTTGAGCAGTTGGTTTTTAAAGACGATAGTTTTTCTTGGGGACCTTCGACGCAAAAATTTTGGTCAGTCTGTCTATCTGTACATTTGTCTATTTGTCCATCCTTAACAGTAATCTCAACGGCACCAAAGTGACCAAAAGATACTCCAAACTGTCCACCCCACCCGCAGCACCCACCAATATTGCTCAAGATTCAGTGTTCATACTTGTACGATTGTCAATTAAAAATCAATTATTGCGCATATCTGAGACACCATAACAACATGTCAATATTCTGTATGTGTGTCTCTTACTAGAAAAGGCATACATAAGTAATTATAAGGATTGCAGCATTTATAACGCTGCGCTAGCCATGCAACGTTTGCACGAAACGGCAAGTGTTTCCACCGCTTTGCTAAGACAACACGGTGGTGGCACCTACCCATCACCTTGTGTTCTACAGCTTATCACCTAAGAGACGTGCGTGCGCCCTGTTTTCCAGTATAACTGCCAGATAGCGCTCATGTGTCACGCATGACGTGACTTGATGCGCTCGTTCGCCTCCACTGCACTCAAAGCACTCTAACTCAGCGCTTCCAGAATACCATTCAATGATTTTTTTGCGCAGAACATCCAATAAACGCTTTGTTCCCTCTCTCCTGACACAAGGCTATCGTCTTTCGACGACATTTACGGTGTAACATGCAGATACCGGGCCGATTTTTTTTCTCCCGATAAAAAAAAAAACTCAAACAGTCGCTGCCTGCGTAGGCGTCTGTCTGCGTCAGTCTATAGTATAATAAGGGGGATAGGAAAATGCTGAAGAGGTGCCCTGCTTATAAGAGACATCTCTTATAAAAGACGAGAATTGTTTCCCGGAGCATGCCTCTTATAAAGGAATTTAACTTTACTTTGTTTTTACAATTGAAGGGCTTTCGCCAATCTCTCTCGGTGCATCCACATTCACTGAACACTTGGCACTCTTCTGCTTTCTGATACACAGTTGGAGCGAATGAGCAGACTGGCAGGTGGATAGATAGATAAACTCTCTTATGAGACCACGTCCGGTACGGCAGCCACCAGGTTATCTTTTTAATCCAGACACACGAGCCAGAGAGCCAGCCCGCGTGACATACGATGATGATCACTACAATGGTTTGGTCATACAGATGAAGATGAAGTACATATTCAGCGCTCACACTATTTCCCCCCTTGGCGAAAGAGGGCAGCAAGTTAGAAAGGGTTGGGACGCCGAATATATCGTTTCAGTCGAGAGACGTGGGCGATCTCGGTGTGGCGGCGACGGCGATCAGAGCCGGGTTGACAGGAGCAACGCGATAGTTGACTTCAGATGTTTGTTCCAGGACTATGTATGGACCGAGATATCGGTGAAGGAATTTTTTGCAGAGCCCAGGTACACGAACAGGTGTCCACAAAAGGACTTCGTCGCCTGGGCGGAACACAACTTGTCGCTTCGCGTCAATGTCGATTTTTCTCTTGTCCTGAATGGTAGCAGTGTTGGCGCGGGCGATTTCACGGCAGCGGGCGACGCGAGCGGCGAACTCTTCCAGGAGAGATGAAGATGGATTGGAAGATGTGGACAAAAAGGTGGTGTCCAGAACAAAAGTCTGTACACGGCCATACACGAGAAAAAAAGGGCTGAAAGTCATCGTACGCTGTATGGCAGTGTTATATGCGAACGTGACGAAAGGAAGTATTGTGTCCAGTTTTTGTGATCCGGTTGCACGTGCATAGAGATCATGTCGGACAAAGTTCGGGTGAAACCGCTCAGTCATAGCATTAGTTTCTGGGTGATACGCTGATGTGGTCTTGTGGAATGGTGTTAGAGGCCTGTAAGACTTCAGCAAGGACATGTGAAAGAAATGTCTTGCCACGGTCACTAAGGAGCACTCGCGGTGCGCCATGTCGTAAAATAATGGCGCGAAGGAACAAATCCGCTACTTCAGAGGTAGCACCAGATGAAAGAGCTGCCGTCTCCGCGTAGCAAGTAAGGTGGTCTACGGCAGTAACAATCCAACGGTGACCAGCTGGCGTAAGCGGTGATTGTGCGGCAGTCGATGATTGTGCGGCAGTAGGTATCGGCATGTTGGAGCGAGGCGAGATCTGTGGACGAAAGAAGGTCCGCCGAGGCAACTAACTGTTTCGAAGCAGCAGCCGTCTGTTTGGTCACTTTGGCGGGCGGTGACGAACAGATGGATGGTGACTCTTCGGCGCTTTGCGAGAGCGGGCAACGGGACAAAGCGTCGGCATCTTGGTGCTCTCGGCCTGACCTATATGTGACGCTGTAGTCATACTCTTGCAATCGTAGTACCCAACGGCCAAGGCGTCCCGACAAATTTTTGAGAGACGATAACCAACACAGAGCATGATGGTCAGTCGCTATTGTGAAATGCCGGCCGTATAAGTAGGGACGAAACTTTTGTATAGACCACACGATGGCGAGACATTCTTGCTCAGTGATGCTGTAGCTTTGCTCGGCAGGTGACAGAGTAGGGCTCGCATAGGCCACGACTTTTCTTCGGAAGCGTGGTTCCGCTGAAGAAGGACAGCACCGATGCCAAGTCCACTTGCGTCAGTGTGTAGCACAGCAGGTGCTGCAGGGTCGAAATGGCGAAGCACTGGACGTGATGTGAGGCATCGCTTGAGGGTGTGAAAAGCGGCTTCGCAGTCATCCGACCAGACAAAGGGTGCGCTCGTGGTCAGAAGTTTGTGCAGAGGAGTCGCAATAGTAGCGAAATCACGCACAAAGCGGCGGAAATACGATGCTAAGCCAACGTAGCTGCGGAGGTCTTTCTGTGTGGTTGGTGTAGGAAAGTGCAGTACCGCGGCAACCTTGTCGGGATCGGGCTCAACGCCATGTTTACTGACGACGTAACCTAATACCTTGATGCTGTGACTGGCAAACCGACACTTCTTAGTGTTGAGCTGGAGACCGGCCTCAGCTAAACACGTGAGGACTTTGTCTAGCCGTTCCACGTGTTGTGAGAAGCTGGACGAAAAGATGACAATGTCGTCCAGGTAGCAAAGGCAGGTCTTCCATTTTAATCCCCGCAGTACCGTGTATCATCCGTTCGAATGTGGCTGGGGCATTACACAGGCCGAAAGGCATCACATTGAATTCAAAGAGACCATCTGGCGTAGCAAACGCAGTCTTCTCTTTATCAGACTCGTGCATTGGAATCTGCCAATAACTGGAGCGTAAGTTGAGACTTGAAAAGTACTCGGCACCTTGTAAAGTATCAAGAGCGTCGTCAATGCGAGGCATTGGGTAGACGTCCTTACGAGTGATTTTGTTGAATGATCTGTAATCAATGCAAAACCGTACCGAGCCATTCTTTTTTTTCACTAGTACGACAGGAGAAGACCATGCGCTTGTCGAAGGCCTGATGACGTTGTGCGCGAGCATGTCGTTGACTTGTTCTTCTATAAGCTTGCGTTCAGAAGCCGACACACGGTAAGGGCGGCAGCGAATCACACGGGATCCGTCGGTGTCAATACGATGTGCGGTCACTGTTGTTTGACCCAGACCTTCGGAACAAACGTCAAAGCAAGTTTTGTGCTGAGGGAGAGGTCACTGATGGGAGAGTGGAAAGAATGCGCGTGCTTTTAAACTTGGTTGTGAACACATCAAAAGGCTCAGTGATGCTTTTCGGCACGTACTCCCATGTTGTCTAGAATTTAATACCCGTGTGTATAGTACTTACAGATTGAGGCGGGACAATTTAGGGCAAAGTGATACATACTTTTGTTTTCGCTATCATCAGCTTGGGTCACATTGTCGTAATTTTGACTTTGAACTCGCAGATCAGATTCAAAATTGTCCAGATTCGTCACTACGTTATTTCGAGCAGATGTGCATACCAGTCATTATGCTAAGAAAATTGACGTCATGTTTGAATCATTGTGTACTGTACGTAGGTGGTGACCCTATTTACTCGCGCAGTGATGGAAGTGCTGCTCCAATTGCTTCAAACTGCTCCAAAAGAGAAATGCTGCTTCAAAGTGCAATATTTGCTGGTAACTGCTCGAAACCTGCTCCGAAAGGATGTTGGCAAACTAAAAGGAATGAAGTCGAACCATGGGACTATCCCGTGAGCATAAGCGAAACCAAAAGCAAGCTGTATACACTATCATTTTAGTATGCTACTCAGTGGCGTGAATCCAGAAAAATCTGAAGGGGTGACGTATATGGGGCCATGGTCTCTAATTCATTTTTTGCGGGGGGGGTTTGTATTTTTATTTATATAGGAAATAATGTTTTCAAGTGAAATTAGAAACCGAGCATGGGGTATGAGCTCGAGCAATTGCATAGTTCTATTCAGTCTCTTTTTTTCCCCCTTTTTTCGATTTGCATAGTTCACAGAGCTTAGGAAAATTTAACACAGGTAATAAAAAGCCTTTGATTGCGCTATACTTAACTGTTAACTCAGTTATATCACATGATAAAGCTAAATCTCAAGTGCAACACTTCCAAGAGGTGTGCTCCCTTGCCTGAACACCAGAAAAGACTGTACTCTCTTGACTCCCCTCCCCATGATTTACGCCAACTATACTGCTTGTATACTTCTTCTATACTAGCGTATAGAATGTAAATAATAAATATAAATATTCTTTAGATCCTTATGTGATGTTTTAGACTTCAGGAGTTGTTAGGAACATGCATCTGTTCCGATACACCAATAGCAACCCTAAGCTATAGCATTTTTTTCTGCTCCAAAGACACTTGACCCAAATATGCCCAGTGTCATACATGTAGGATGATGAAACTTATTAGTGTAACTCAAATGTTTTTTTCTGCAGAAATCGTAGCGTTACCTAAGGTGTGTTTATGATACTCTGTCCTCGTCACATGCAAGTCTAGGTGATCGCTGGGCTACGAATAGCCACGGGTTTGCAGTCGCAAGATTACTATTTCGCGTGCATGTAGCTGAGAGCCATACCGCGATAAAAAATATATAAGTAATATAGAGTCAAACTGTTCTAAATGCTGCTGATATTTTTGTCGATTGTTCGTCAGTTATTCGGCGTGCAGCAACTTTTGTATGACAGTGATAGACGCTAATATGTTTGTTCGCGGTTTGTTAAACATTGGTGTCCTACACATAGAACGGCTCAAAAAACATTGTTCGGAAGAGTTTATTTTCAATTAAAAGCTTTATCCTGTTTTCTGAGGTCATAAAAGCAATCATTTTGGAAAAATAAGTAAAAAACATTGTTCGGAAGAGATTATTTTCAATTAAAAACTTTATCCTGTTTTCTGAGGTCATAAAAGCAATCATTTTTGGGAAAATAAGTTAGTTTTAATTTTTTCTAAGTTTGGGCATATATGGATTGAGGCTGCTCAAAAGCACCATTTTTTCTGCTCCAAAATCTGCTCGAAAAAAGCAGAGTGTCGCTTCCATCACTGCTCGCGTAATTAACCCACTCGCATAACAAACCCACCCTCCATCTTAGTCCTTGAAAAAAAGAAAAAAAAACAAAATTTTTAATGTATCTGTTCATTTTATTTCTGTAATAGCCGGTGCCGCTGACAAACGAAACAATGTTAAATCAAAACAATATATTACAAAGTGGTGATGCAATAAAAGTCAAAGCATAGTTTTGCAACCGTGCTAAACAGTTGGAAGCATTGCTAGGGCAGACGACCTCAATCAAAACCTAAAAGTAGCGCCTTTCACGGTAGAGCGTCATCTGTCGAAGGCAAGAGAAACTTCTTTGCTTATATCGCCGCGCAAGCTCAGTGGCACGAAAACAAAGCGAAAATGCCTGTCCGTGCAGAAGGCGCAGCACAGTCACAGCAAAAACTAGAAGAGCGGCCTTTCAGAGCCTCTAAACACTTATTGGGTAACTGCTGCAAACACACTTGCTTGATGCCCACTACGGCATTAATAATGAAATTTTTCGGGTAGTAGGCCGGCATTCGCTATGCTATTTTTTGCCATTTTTTTTGAAGCGTGGTATCCGCTAAACACTAGCAAGGAATTTTGTGCCAATTGTTCATACAGTGGCTGACAAAGATGAGGAATTTTGTCTGAAGTAGGTATGTACCACAGTTTATAGCTGAGCAAAAACAAGCTTTTGCAATGGGTTCGAGCATTGGACGACCCACTCGTTACGCCATTCGCATTGTGAGACGACTGCTTGTTCTTTCGATGTTTTAAAATGCTTTATTAGTTGTATGTGATTGCTTTCCCGACATCAAGCCTGCCTAAAACAAGTTTGCCAACAAGTCCCAAGCACTGGCGTGGCTCAGTAGTAGAATATTGGGCTGGCACCCAGCAGACCCGGGTTCGAGCCCCACTGTGTCATTAGTACTATTTTTTTTTTTTTTCTAATTTCACGATGTGGTTATGGACATAAGCAGTGGCGATGGCAGACAACTACCGCGCTGCGGGTGACCCGAGTTGTGATCTCATAACAGCTTTCGCTGTAAAAACAAAGTGCATGGTCTCCGAGATGACGAGTGCGAGCGCGTGGCTTGTTTTTACACCGCGTGCCCGCTTTCTCGGAGGCCATGCAAAGCAAATCACGCCGACGGCATGTCGTGCACCCGCAACGTTCGTGCGCCGCCATTGTGACCCGAGTTGTGATCTCATAACAGCTTTCGCTGTAAAAACAAAGTGCATGGTCTCCGAGATGACGAGTGCGAGCGCGTGGCTTGTTTTTACACCGCGTGCCCGCTTTCTCGGAGGCCATGCAAAGCAAATCACGCCGACGGCATGTCGTGCACCCGCAACGTTCGTGCGCCGCCATTCAACGTTGCCTTTTTGTTGTCTAGTTTGTCGGAGTGAATTTAGTTGGACACCTGCTGCACAGGGCGTGGTCGGCCAATACACTAGCTACATGGCCGCACGCGCTGCAGCATTGAAACTGAGTAGCCCAGCCCGACGACGCTTCGGCGTCGATCTGTGCGCGTTCATTATGGGAGAAAACAAAAGAGCTTTGGGCTAAGAAAAATATTTCTTGCACATTTCGAGGGCCTAAACACTCATGCGAAATTTTTGCTGTTATAACTCCAGGGACTTTTTTTTTCTCCTGCGTAATGAACCCTCCCCCTAAATTGGCATCAACTTTTCTGGAAATAAAAAAGGTGGGTTCATTACGCAAGTAAATATGGAACTATTGGAGTATGTGTATGCACCATGAGGTTTCCTCGTGTTGTCTAGTAGCTCTGGACTGTGCAGATGGCGTGCATGTTAAGCCAATGTGGTCTCTGCAATGCTGCTTTTGGTTCCAGCGAGCAGCATGTGCTTGAAGTAATTCTGCGTAGGATGGTGGCAATCAATAGTAGCATCGTCGCTGGAGTTGTCAATCATTAAAAAAAAACAAAAGCCATGCAGTACACTTGTAATGATGCTCAGACACACTGCCTGCAGCAGACAGTTGTAAACACCTATTGCAGACTAATTCTTAAGTGCATTTTCATTGGTGGAATCCATCTGGTCTCCATGCTTTTCTAATGATTATCCATGTAGGCATAGCACCAGAGTTGAGTCACAACCGTAAGAAGGCAAACCTTTGAAAATAAAAAAGCTAAGCCCTTGAAGGGACTCTGAAATGGTTTTTTGAAGTTTTGTCAGCGTTTAGGCTAGGCATCGTCAAACCATCGGCGCCCCAAATTTGGCGATACATTGTGTATCACGGCCGCTATGCATGTTTGTATCGTACCCTCCTCATCTCTGCCTGGCCTCCTCAACTCAAGAGGCACGCCAGCATTGGCCGGTGATCACAGAGCTCTTGCGAATGCGCTCAAACATTCAGGCTTTGACTATTCTAGACTTTGGAGATTGCACTCAGACTGGTTGCACGCAGTCTCGAAGGCCATCAGACAGAGAACCCGGCAGCATGCCTGCTGTCTGGCAACTGAGACAAAGATAGTGGCGTAATCCACATCTGCTCCGACAGGGGCCGCCACCTACCAGCCGATCTTGCTGCTGCGCGTTCTACACCTCATGACAGCGATCAGATCTGCTGCCAAGGTGACGTCACGTAACCAGAGCATGTGGCTCTGTAAATGGGCGGTTTAAAACGTGTTTGACCTAGTCACAGTGATCGCTGCAGCGGTTCACAGCTTCAAAGCATTGTAATCAATTACACAGTTACCGCAGAGAGGTCAAATCGGTGTCTAAATTATCCTTAGGACGTCTACTGGCCCAATGTATTTCTACAGTGTCCAAAACTGTTTCAGGTTCCCTTTAAGTCGCAAAGTTACTTACGTGAATAGTAAGTAAACACACTGTAGCTTTCAGTGGAGCTGGGAATGTGGGCTACACATTCTGTACGAGTACTCCGTGAACAGCGGACTGTATTATACATCTATCGAAGACATGATGAGTGAACTTTCACTGCTCATAATCCATTTTTGCCGAACTGTTTTGTCTGTCTGCAGCAGGATGCCACTAGTCTACTGTATACACTTGGTGAGTGCCGAGCATTTTTTTTTTCACCCTCTCAAGTGAGTTGTTTTTGTGCCAAGTCAAGTGAGCAACACCACTCTCAATCCAGGGTCTCACCAGGACAGAAACAGTCATCTTGTTCGGCTCGCCTGTCTAGGTCCCTATCTTTTTGGGTCCACCTTTTTCAGCAAGGATTGTGAAGTATGGGCCAGGAGTGCAGGGATATACTTCGACCCTTCAAAGTCAGTGCTTGCATTTTCTACCTTCTGTTATGTCTTTGTTCATGACTTGTGAAACCCGAATTTTGTGATTTTTAATCGCAAAACATTACGCATGCTCATCTCTTGTGCCGCTGTCGGCAGAGGACAGTTTGACTTGGCAGAGTCGACTTTTATTACTGCAGATTTGAGATCTTTGAGGTGACCTATTTTCAAAAGTATTTACCCAAAATTTTTTTGCATAGGTGTGTGTAGGGAGTATTAAGAATGAAAAAGAAGTTGCAAAAGATGCCCTATGTCAGCATATTTGCCTATATGAACATTTCCGATGGAGGCGGGAATGTTGTAGGCTTGAGTTGTCAGATTTGGGTGCAAGTTAAAAGACCCCAGGTGGTCAAAATTTCTGGAGCTCTTCGCTGCGGCGTCTTTCATAATCATATGGTGGTTTCGGCATGTTAAACCCCACATATCATCAATATCTTTGCCTATATGAACCTTTGAGTCTAAACAGAAGGGCAACTGGTGAAAGAAAAAATTTCATGTCCTTGGCTGCCTGGAGGGTGACGGCATTTTCTTGCAAAAAAAAAAAAAAAAAAGGTTGGGAAATGTTGCTTTTTGATGAAAAAGCTGTCTGAGAACTGGGCAGAATGTAAGTTTATAAAACACTCAATATTATAAAATATGGAAGTGACAGCCCAAAACTAAATGCATATTTGTTTTGAGCTGTGAAAAATGCACAACGGAAAACATTTTCTGTTGGAAATACCGTATTTATTCGAATATAAGGTGAGATTTTTTTCCCAAAACTGTGGTCTCAAAGTCTACCCCCGTCTTATGTTTGAGGTAAAACATCAATTATTGCTTCTATGCCAGGAAAGGCGTACTGTTTTTTTTTTTGCATGAAAATGTAAATAATTCAGAATATTTAATGCTGGTACATATTTGTGCTGTAACGTAATAGGTCATCGTCAGCGATAATTAAAAAAAAAGAAAGCAGTCTGGCAGCAGTTGCCTCCACAAAATCAACGGCGGAGAACGTAGCAAGCTAGACATAGGCAGCAGCGTCCGGAAAGTCACTAAAAACGAAGAACAGCCTGCCAAAATTCAGTATGTTGCAATCCACAAGCAAAGTTCTGGTCACTTTTTTATGTGTGCTTGTCTTTTATGTTCTCTTGCTCTCTTAGAGAGTACACTTTACCCTTGCTGATGTGCGTGCAGCCTTCCATTACCTTTGTTCTGCATGGAATTTAGACTACCTACGGGAACCTTTCTGTCGTCGCTTGTCATCATGGGACGTCGTCGTCTCTTTGATGCAGCATTCAAAAGGAAGGTGATAACCAATGCTGAAGCTTTAGGCAGCTACACTGCAGGTCGGAAGTACAGCGTCCCAGAAAACAATCTGCGTCGTTGAGGGAAAGGGGCTCTCTTTGCCTGCGCCGCGATGCGGCAAGCTTTTCGAGGACCACACAAGGATGTGTTTCTCGAAGTAGAGGCAAGTCCAACAAAATTTGTCAGCGAAACTGAGTCGTGCCTTGACTGACAACAGAAATGCTTCAGATCAAAGCCCGAGAGTTCGCAGAACATCACGGCATCTCCGGGTCGCAGTTCAAGGCTAGCCGAGGCTTGGTGCAAAAATATATGAAGACAGCTGGCTTCTTACTTGGAAGGAGGACTTCTGTTACGCAAAAGCTTTCCCGTGACTATAAAGGAAAGCTACTGTCTTTTCTACGTTGTGTCATTTGAGAGCCGAGAGAGTGCAACTTCCTCCTTGGCCAGATCAGGAACATGGTCGAGACTCCGACATTGTTTGACGTACTGTCGGTGCACACTGTACACGCGAAAGGAGATGTCAAGTTTGCGTATGTACCACAGGGTGCGAAATAGCGCAAATCACTGTCACGTCAGCATGCACCGCAAACGGACACCGCCTTACGTGGTGCTAAAATTGAAAATTTTTCTAAGGGAAAGTTTTCGACGCTTTTCGAAGGGGTCAAAAAAAGTTACAAAAAGAAGCCACCTATCTGGTTGTCAACTTTGGTGGCATGACAAGTCAGCTGTAGCTACTGGATGTGTGTCTGAACAAGCCTTTTAAGGGCAATGTAAGAGGCCTCTGCAGTGATTGGATGGCCTCGGACGATACGGCCTTGGCGCCGTTTGGTTGCTTGAAGCGTGCATCTTTATTGTGGCTCGCTGGATAGCAGACGCTTGGACAGTCATGCAGTGGTGGCAAATTTTTTCAAGTGCTTCATTTCGAACTCGCTCGACGGCACCGAAGATAGTGAAGTCTGGGCATGCGACAGCGATAAGGAAAGCAGTGATACTTCAGGTGATGACAGCTCGTGATTATGTGGTTACAGGGCTGATTTTTGCGCACTTGAAAGGTGAGACGTCGGAGTTTTTTGAGAACTCTCACCCTATATTAATGCCCCATCTTTTTTTGCTTTCTTCGTTCCTTCAATTCCTCCCTCGCCTTATAATCTTGACCGCCTTATATTTGAATAAATATGGTACTAAAAATTGTCAGTACCAGTGTCTCCCCATACTGCATGCTCTTAGGTAGCCAGGGCTATTGGCTCTCTAGGCAACTCCTGAAATGTACGGGATTCATTATTGGAGACTTGTTTGCTGTAGCTTGCGTTTGTGTATGTACAGTAATACCTCGTTAACTCGAAGTCGTAAAATCCAAAGAAAATTTCGAAATAAATGGATCTTCTAGATAAGCAAAGTTGCACTAATCACCGTGGAAAATGAGCGCTTTTGAAAAAAATCACTGCTTACCAGCTCTTAAGCCTCAGGTTCCAATCTTTCTTCTTGTGCAGGTTTAAAAGAGAAAAAATAACATGCAAGAGACTTTTAACCGGGTGGGTTTTGCCGCGTTGCCATTTTATTTAGCAGAGAAAAACTGCCTAATCCAAGTCTGCATTGCGGTCGTACTCGGCCTTAAGAAGACCTCATCCTCCAGCTGCTTGGCGCACCACATCAATCGATCTTCCCCGCTGCTGCACACGATGTTATTTCGAAGCTAGCATAGCAAACTTCTTGTCTTATAAGATGTCGGCATTTCTCGAGGTGGTTTGTCATCGCAGTCGCCTGCGCGTTCCCCTACGTTAGTGCCCGTTTGAAAGATTTCGGCAATACCATTACCTGTAAGCTTGATGACTTCTTGACAAAGTTCCTCACAGTCTGTGAAGTTATTTGTCTCTGCCATCTCCGATTCTGGCAAACTGGCGCCATGTGAAAACCCAGCGTGCCTAAAGCAGTTGGCGATAGCTGCTGCGCGAACTTGCTGCTAAGCTCTGCTGAGAATGTGTACTGCTCCCAGGAGGTCAATTTTGTAGCCTTTGCCGTTTTGATAAAACAACTGAATTCCGTGAAAAAGGCTCTTTTGGTAGAAGGCTCTTTCGGCTCTTTCGGTGGACTCCTAGCTTGCCGCCACTCATAAGTTGCTTCTCCTCACAGTCAGCGAAAAATTTGTACCACGTGGTTTATGCAGATGAACAGAAATCACCCCTCAAGAAAAACATGTGCACTGCACAAAGCGAAGGAGACAAACTACGCCAAGCATTAAGCAGAGGTGCCTCCCTGCTCAGCACATGTGTCACATGACGTGCCACAGGGCTGCTTGACAAAGTTCATATGTCGCTGGGCTGAGACTTCGCACACTTCGCTTTCACGGAAAGCATCGACGTAGTGGCAGGTGTGGCAGCATCGCGCGAATGTTGTGAATGGGTCAGGGAGCGGCATTTTCGTTTCACTCCTAGTCAAGATTTCGAGTTATCCGCAGTCAGAGCGAAAAATTCTTTGAAATAAGGAGAGAAATATACATTGGACGTGTAGGAAAATTTTTCGTGCTGTGGAAAATTCCGACTTGACCGATTTCTTTAGATATGCGGGTTCGAGTTAACAAGGTATTTTTGTATTTGTGTTGCACTTTTTTTTCCGTCTTCGCATTGTCCCAGTCTTTTTCCGCAAAGCACCAATATTACTGATGTAGGTGTATTTGTACATGTTCCCTCCTGAACAACTGCTCAGGAGGTTCTGAAGTTAGTCTTTTTTTCCAGGCTAGTGGACAGCAACATGAGTGCTGAAGTTCGTGAAGCAATCATGGTTCTTGACACATTTGCATACCATATATCATTCGTCCTCGACATTGTAAGTAGTCGCTCTTCAATTCTTTTTTTGGTGGAGTCGTCGAAGCAAGTTCTCAAGCTTGTGAGTTCCGAGAAAAATGATGAATTTCATAAGTCTGTTAGTGTAGCCAGTAAAACTACAGCGGTGGGACATCCAAGTACAGCCGTGTGGGCTTATCTTCAGTTACAGTGGCCAACCAATCTTCGGAATCTCTGAAATGTTAATATTAGGGACAGCGTCGTTTTACCAATAAAAAGAGGAGGTACAGTGGCTACAGCAGGACCTTCTGGTATTGTCTGTGTTAAACTTTCTAAAGTTGCCAGTTGACCACTTGCCATCGTTAGTGTGCATGTGAGGACGTGCTGGTGTAAAATTATCCACAGACCAATGGTAAATGATACTAGACATTCTATATTTACTCACATTATTTGCCAACTTTCTTTTTTTCCCGATTTTGCTGCTCTGAGAAGGGGATGCACACATTACGCGAGGATTTCGTAAACACATATAATATGCAGTAATCCTAATGCGTGTAGTATATTTTAAAAAGTTATAAATTGGAGCGCAAGGTATACTTGTTAATTTAATAAATTTAGCACGTACATTAACCAGTCAGATTCGGTCGCGCAAGGTGTAGTCCAACGTTACTGGATTGTCTAGTCTGTAATCACTGATCGAGAAGTCTGATTAAATATTATTGTCGTGGATGCTGCCACTGCCCTCCCCAAGTGAATTGTCCTCTGCTGTGGCAAGCATGTTCGAGTGCCCCACTTTCTTCGAAGCTCTTCTCGACAATGCTGGGAGAAACTAAATCCCACAACACTGCAATATCGGAGGACCTATGCGTTTGCACAAGTTTGAAAAGGCCTTCTTCAACAGAAGAAATTTGTATTAGCAAGCGTACACTCTTCTTCTTCCTCCCGCATGGACCGTTGCACGTTGAAGAACTTACGCTAAAGTTTTTGGCGGCGGCACGGTTGCAGTTTTCGTTGGCGAACCTTATAACAGTGATCTTGAATTTTTGAGTATATACAATTGCTGTAATTCATCGCAAAGAACAGTAAAAATGCGACGGACAAATGCCAATACCTAGACTTCCAAAATCAACCATGTGTGCGTTGCAGTGCAGATGCAGAGGCCGAGGGGAAGAGTTGGTGTGACCAGTCCTTGCATGCCTCCGGTGCAGAAAGTTGTCTGTGTCGTGATGCGAGCTTGAATTCTCACGGTGTTAGAGATGGGGAGATAAAAGGCCAACGTTCGAACAGTTCCAGCTACAGGTTTGCGTGTTAATATCCGCCGCAGTGGAGCAGTCGTTACGGTGCTCGGCTGTAGACACGGTGTGTATAGAAGAGGGGGGGGGGGGGAGTTGTTTCGCTATCTAATTACGCGAGTTTCTATAAAAATCAACATTAAGGTACGGCATTTAAGGGACCGTAGTTCGGAAGAAGTCCTCGGAACAAGGGACTCCGTCCCCACTGGCAGCCCGTTAGACTGCGCTCGCCTGCTCAGCGAGACGTGCCACCTGCATGCCCGTCTAAAGCATCCAAAGGCCCAAAGTCTCTACGTGTGCACCGGTGAGCTGGCTCAGATGAGTTGGGGAGCGTGAGTTATTCGAGGAAATCTGTTTTTTAATTTTTTGTGAAGCTGGTAAGATATTAGGGGTGTGCAAATTATGCGAGGGTGCAAAATATACGAGCAAATATTGTATTCATACTGGATATTCATACCTGAATGTTAATTAAAGCATGAACTGAAGCATTTAGTTAAGCCAGTTCCCAGAGTTCACACGCTGTTCTGCTCTCGACAAGTTGAATTAAGACTACTAGCTCAGTGGTGTTACAGCTCGTCAAGATAACACTTGTCATGAATACTCAATTACCGAAAATCACTGTCCGCATATTCCAGGTTCACCGACACTCGGGAACGCTTGGTACTTGGAGACAAAAGGGTGTGGTAAATTGTGCGTGGTGGATTTACGTGGTCTTAAGTATAGTTTCCTAAAATTAAGTAGAGGGGACTCTGGCGTTACGATCGCTCAGCCACCACAGGAATGATGGGCAGTACACTAATTTGCCTAGTCTTTGTGCTTGCGGGCTTTCAACATGCTTGTAGCTTTGCTTATTAGCACGTTTTGGCTTTGTTTCAAACTCTGAACCTATTTGAATTGATGACCCTAAAATGTTTAGGTGGCAAAGTGCAGCAGCTTAATCTTTGCTTATTTTCATCTTGTGATAAAGTGGCGCCAGGCCATGCAAACCCAAACGGAGCTAGAAGATGGAAGACTAGGCAAATCCATGGTAGCTGAAGTGCCATGTGTTCCAGCTTCCATAGGCAGTAGTGCTAGGGTTCCCTCTAGTATATTTATGGGAAACTATCGTCTTAAATACAAAATTTCTGCAGCGTGAAAAACGAGATAAAAAAAAAACTACGGCTTGTGGAATGAATGTTGCAAATGTTTCGTGAAGCTGGTAAAATATTAGGGGTGTGCAAATTATGCGAGGGCTTAAATTATGTGAGTAAATATGGTATTCATACTGGATATTCATACCTGAATGTTAAAGCATGAACTGAAGCTTGTAGCTAAGCCAGTGCCCAGAGTTCACACGCTGTACTGCTCTCGACAAGTAATTAAGACTGTACTAGCTTAGTGATGTAGCAACACAGTATTCGAATTTGTTTCTAATTGAATTTCAATTGTTGAAAATTTTAAAGTATTCTAAACAAATGAATAAATGTACATTGATCTGCGTGTAACCCCTGTAAAGACGATTCCACTTAAGCAAAGTAGTGTTATGTCTTAAAACCTAGGCTTGTGCGAGTATTTGAATGCCTCGAATATTCGAACGAATAGTAGAGTATTCGAATTCGCTTCGATTCGAATTTAAATATCGAATATTTCGAAGTATTCGACATGTATATGTGTTGTAAACCGCACGTAATCACTTTTAAAAGTGGCTTCACTGCAGTATAGTAGTGCTAAACCATGAAAGCATCTATTCAGAAGGAATTTGCTCTGCTGCGAAGCCCCACTTCAAATTTAAAGGGGCACTGCAACACTTTTTGAGCATGGTCAGCCAACGCTGCCGATCGGTAGTCGAGGCTACCAAGAACATGCGAGCTAAATATTATAGCGCAGGACGTGACCTGAAACTCTCAGTAAATTCTCACTGTCGGATAAAAATTGCTCTATTCTCTGGGCAAATGACGCCACAATGCCAGATATCGCTCATCGCAACGATTGTAGCAGCGATTGACTGATTTGAGCATGGGGCGCTCGGTTGTTACTGAAGCCGCTGCGCGTGGCCACGACATGTCCAAGCGTACATGCATGATCGCACTGAAAATTCGCGTATTCAAAGAAAAAAGAAAAGAGAGAGAGAGTGCTCAGGGTCACGACACGCAAGTGACTTATTTTCCTTCCCTATGCCATTCCTTGCTGCTTTGCTTCAAGCACTTTCTTCGGAACGAGGAGAGAGAATGCAATTGCAGCATGTAGCTAATCTTTGTGCCTCCGCTCATGCAGGACAGATTCGAAAAATTTTTGCGGCGGTTAATTCGTAAGGCAATAATCTTATTGAGTGAATAAATTGTATGGCAACTCGAAAAACTGTTGCAGGATTCCTTTAGATAAACATATTATCCTCAATTCGATTAATCATTTTCTAATCTTAAAAGCTTGTTTTGCCAGCTTATACACTCTAGCAGTAATGAATAATATTGCGTATTTTACAGGTTATCACTTGTTTCCTACTGAAAGTCAAATCTTGCTATTTCTCAAAGTTGTTTGAACTTCCTTTGATTGGAAAAAAAAATGAAGCTCTTGCATAGAGGTCTTGTTAAAAAAATTATATATATATATATATATATATATATATATATATATATATATATATTGTGCAGGTTAGTTCTTTACACAACATATTTTCTATTGAAATTCAATTGCAAATTATTCGGCCAAAATCACCATTCGCTTCGATCCTAAAATATCACTATTCATACAAGCCTAGTAAAAACACGTATACAGAAGAAATCAGCACTGCTGCGACGCCCTACTTCAAAGTTAAATGAATATATCACCCTTACATCTAATAATTCCTCAAGTTTAAAAGCATGTTATACCGACTGATATGCTCAAAGTATACCAAAATTTAAACGTAACATATTTTACTTGCATTCTATCGAAGCCCCGCCGCGGTGGTCTAGTGGCTAAGGTACTCGGCTGCTGACCCGCAGGTCGCGGGTTCGAATCCCGCCTGCGGCGGCTGCGTTTCCGATGGAGGCGGAAATGTTGTAGGCCCGTGTATTCAGATTTGGGTGCACGTTAAAGAACCCCAGGTGGTCGAAATTTCCGGAGCCCTCCACTACGGCGTCTCTCATAATCATCAGTGGTTTTGGGACGTTAAACCCCACATATCAATCAATCATTCTATTGAAAGTCAAGTCCTGTTACTGTTTAAAGTTGTTTCCATTTTCTTGAAGAAAAAAGTTACATTTGCACAGGCATTGTTTTAATTAAGTAATATTGTGTAGTTTAGTCAAGTCGTGACAAATACAGAGGTTTTTTTTTGTAATATGGGATATATATTGTAATCTTTGAATTCACTTCGAACATAAAACTCACTGTTTGCACAAGCCTTAAAAAAAACAAACAAAAAAAAAAACACGGAGACGTAGATGGCGTTGTCTATGCTAAGCTGGCCTTGTATCGATGATAGTGTAGCAACCAGTGCACGCTAATGAAATTCTTGTGTGATGTACATTTTGTATTGCCGGCCACTTGAATGCTTGCCTTGTTGCTTGCTTCCACCAGTGCAACATGAGCGAGTGTACGCCCAGCACGACGCTACATATGGCCGAAAAACACAAGACATTTCTCACGGACTTCGACAAGGAGGCACATTACTCCGCTCTTCGGAAAATGGTGGAAGCTTCCGACTTCTTTCAGCTATTTCGGTGAGCTAGGCTTGCACCATTTTGTCCCGCCTTCTTTGTTTTAGAGTGGAACCCCGTGACACATTTTTTTTTTTCTCTCACGCAAACAAAAAGCGGAAAGCGCTAGTTGAAAAGCAGGGAAATCCTTTTTAAGGGGAGAGGCTACTCGAAGACACTTTTTTTTTTTTTAATATTCACCCTAGTGAAATGAAACTTGAGCTTTTTATACTTATTTCAAATATATAATTAGTTTTCTTGCAAGTTGCTTACTTTTAGCTCTGCAAATTGACAAAGTGAAAACCATAATCCTTTTGCCCCCCCTCTTTTCATTCCAGAAATTCCGTAATTTTTTACCATTCATAGTTCATAATCTTTGAAATAAAGTGTAGAATGCAAATAACTAATTGGGAAGCACATACAAAGTATGTAATAGGCATGAAAAATAAGACGTAAAAAGTCCATATTTCACCTAGCCTAGTAAAGGTTTACATAGAATATTTTTTATTATACAATAAAATATTGAAATTTAAACAAGATAATTGCATTCCTCATTCTTTGGAAAAAAAATTGGGCAAAATTTCATGCAGATTCGAGCACTAAAAGTTCCCGAAAAAGGAGGGGCACATTGAAAAAAAATGGCGAAATTTGTGTTTTGAGAAAAACGAGTTTTAAAGTTCAAATTCAGTTTTTATTTATGAAAGATATCATTCAATGTTATGAAATTTGCACACCAAAAAGAACAACCCTTCTTGTAGTGGCCACTGCGACTAAAATACTCCAGCCCCTTGAGTTTGTTCCTCTCGTCTTTTTCGAGCAGACTCCTCACAGACATTTTGCTCACAGACTGGGCCATGAAACGCTTGCCAAACTTCCGCTCCATCCAACAGAGCCTTGTGCCAACTTCTAGCTAGGAAGAAGTTCTACAGGACTGCGAAATCCAAACCAAGTCCAGTGTCATGCAATTTCGCGGCCATGTTTGTGCCACATACTGTCGTACATAATGGCAATGTCGTCCCTTCTAAATTCTCTCACTGCGAGCTCTTTCAACCTCGCAAGATTGGTGCTGACGTGATCCATTGCCACATCACGAACTTAAAATATCGAACTTTCTGGCTGACGGGTGTGAATGAATTTTGATGCATTGGTTTTGATTTTGATGCATTGATCGCAAGTTTGGCATTGATCGCAAGATGGTTTGATTTTGATGCACTGGTCGCAAGTGAAAGCCGCTGAGCGGCTTTCACTTGCGAGCAATGTTTTTTTCCTTCATAACTGAGATAATTACACGAGAGAAGCAATGTTCAGCTGCGCTGCTCGACAAAACACGGACCCCGCAAATAGGTTTCACAGCACATACAGGTGCGCAGCGGCCAATGGCGGTCCCCGATCCGTACCACGTCATAAGCCAGTCGCAGGCGCTCGAAAAACGTGCAGAAGCATGCTTCTTTTTATTATTTCTTGCGCTGCATCAGCGAGAGAAACTGTTGGTATTTGAAGAGTGAGGCTTGACTCTTCGACTCATGCGATCAACAATGGCGAGCGGCGGCGCATTATCGGCGGCAAGATGCTTGAAGGCTGCACACTTTGGACCTTTTAACAGGCACCTTGTGCTCTTTGGATGCAATTTTAAAGCATTTCCAGTTAAGTCTTGACCTGTTTTTTTTTTTTTCATAACAGTTGAGGTACTAATCTTATCAAAACAGGCAAAAATTAAAAATTGGTAATTTTGAAAAAAAAAAAAACTCGGGTTTTTCGACCCGTATCTCCCCTTAATTGGAATGCTTAAACATGGAAAACACTGTAAAGCCATATATAGCTAGCTACTCAAGCCTGACCAGCAGATTTTTAGCACTTTCTTTGCCAGGAACGCTGCGCTTCACAACTTACTTTAAAATCTTGACCGGTTTCTATTAAACTTGCCAAGTTTCATACAATCGTGCGCCTATTTGAAGTATGCAATATTTTTTTCTAGTCCGATATTGTAACCAGTGGTGGAAGTGCTGTTTTAATTTCTCCACACTGCTCCAAAAGAGAAAAGCTGCTCCATGCTGCTGCAAATAGTAATTGCTCCAAACTTGCTTTGAAATGACACTGGGAGAATGAGGATGACAAATTTTCACTGTTTGGCGGACTCATAAGTCCTAAATAAAAACACGAAAAATTCTGTATACGATCACCCCAGTGTGCAACTAGTGTGCAGCATTATAGACTCTCATCTTATTTGTGCAAAAGAACTGGCATATCAAGCATATAGCTCCATGTGGCTCTTTTTATCAGCTGGACATATGCAGGCTCGTATGGTGAAAATGAGCAGGATCACGTTTATCTAATACCGATTATGTACCGCTTATTTGGCAACAGTGATTTGAGACTGTGGTTACTTCGAAAATTTGGCACTCGGCTTTTCCGCATTGATTTCATATCTGCCACACTGTCTAGTATCCTAAATTGTAGCTAATTTCACAGCACATATTGACAACCTGCCATTGTTTACCTTATGAAATTTACATTGTTGTGTGTTAAACATATTTCATAAGAAATATTAATATTTACGAGATGTTTTAACAATGCTGTGAACTCCAACTGGCAAATTTAATATATGTATGGCCAACGTAATATCTACTCCTAAAACACCAATAGTTGCTATAACTTTCATCTTTTTCTGCTCCAAAAACACATGGCTGCTCCAAAGCACTGCTTTCTCTGCTCTAAAGTGTGTTCCAAAAAGCAAAAAGTCGCTTCCATCAGTGTGTAACTTTTAATATCAGACACTTCATCTGCCTTATGGCATCAAGATGTTTGCTTAACTGAGAGAGCTACAAACTAATGGCCTTTCTCACTGGGAGATCAGAAGCAGCCGCTAAAACAAGGAGCGAACACTTGGTTTGGTCCAAGCCAAACTGCCTGTGCAACACGGGAATGCTCTGCATGAAGTCAAACTGGAATTTCGTTATGCACAGGTCACTTAACCATTTCCGCAAACTATTATATCTTCCCCTTTCTCCGTTACATGGCCACTCCTGTTGCTGCTGATAGGCGCAACCAACGCTGCTCGCAAATCTACAGAAGCGACATATGCTCGTCGTCCTATTTCAGCCCGTGACTTGGCAGCAGAGCAAGTGAGAGCGATCCGTTGTGGAGCGAGTTGCTCCGAAACGACCTGTGAAATACAGATTCACCGCTGCGAAGCAAGAAATCTTGCTTTGGACATACCAGTGAAAAATGCCATAGATCAGTATGTTGTGATAATTCAAAATGAAAGCTGTATGCAGTAAAATCAAATGGATGTTTCAAGTCTGTTTAAACATAAGTTATGTGTTCTACATTGACAACTCAGTCTATTATTCAGGCGGGCGGTTCACTGTCCATTGTCTGGTATTTTCCAACAATCGATTATTCCAGCAGGAATGATTCACAACTACCAAGGGCTTGATGAAATTAAGGGCATTGATCTGGTGAAGTGATCACGTGTACTGTTTAGCAGATTGTACTGGGTCAGATAGATGATTTCGAATGGTGCTTACTTTTTTTTCCTCTTGATTCACTCAATGATCAAAAATACTCCATTTACACTCATGCCTTTGTTGAAAGTGTTTCCTCGTGCCTTCACAGCGGCTTTGCAATTGTGTGTGCGTCACCTGCAGATTTGTGTGCACTGTGTGGTTTTGTGTTTTTTGCCAGCTTCGCTAGAAGCTGCCACCTAAACAGTTGTGCGTGTTTCTAACGAACCTCCATATAGCGAATTTTTGTATATAACGAAGTTTTTCTATTCCCCACCGTCGCTCCATAGGAGCACATGTATTTGCGAGCTCTGCGTAACAAAGTAACTGAGGGAGACAACATTGATATAACAAATTTTCCCCACAGACAATCTAGAAATTTTCCTCCTCATTTCGGCATTTTGGTACGAGCATGCATTTTCAGCCGCTGCCCTGCCGCCGCCGAAGCGCGAAGCGGGGGTGGTGGGTACGTGGGCCACGTCCACGTGAGGCTGGCAAGCGGGCCTGCGCTTTACGAGCCGGCGTTGCCCCCTTTTTCGCCGCCGCGGTAGCGTGTGCGGGTGTGCCCCCCCCTAAACAAACAAACAAAACACAAATTTTGCGCGTTGGCAGTGCCACACTTTTAGTTAGCATCACATATGTGGGGCCGTGCTGCATATGGAGGGCCCTTTATCGAATAGTTTTTCGCGGTAACTGTGTCTGTGTCGTTCGCTCTTCGTTTTTGACGCCGTGCGCAGGTGCATTGTTTTACTGCGTGCATGGTGTGTCCGACGACGTTCAGCTTTGCTGTTTTTTATTGTGATAGCAATTATGCATGTGGGCAGTTTCGACTGGGTTTTTGCCGCCTCCACCTTCATTTGCTGTATATGTATAGTATGTGTATACGTACCCATATATATATATATATATGAAAACTCAAAAAAAAAAAAATACCCCTCCCGTGCTTAGCGCTCAGGTCATCAGGATGTGCAGAGGGGTGCTTATCTCCCACACGTACTTTGCCCTGCAAATGTGGAGGGGGAGAGGGGGGTTAGGTGCTTGTGCGTGTGCACTTATCCTTGGGTGGGGAGAATCGCATGCCTTCGACTTTGACCGGAAGGATTGCCTTTGCTCTTTTTACACGGTCCCTTTGCGTTGAAACTGCACTGATTCTCGCTTGTGAAAGTTGCAATGCGCGGGAGCCTGTTGTCAATTTAGAATTGTTGCGGAAGATGACGGCGACAGCAAGAATCCGTCGAGAGTGTCCATATAATCGCAAAAATAACGCAGTTTTTGACTGTAAAATGAGTGTTTGGGGTTAGCTCTGCCTTCAGTCCACCTTTTGTTTAATTTGTGCGTTTATTTTCCTAATTTTCGTACCAACCTGCATATAACGAAAACCTCTTTATAACAAATTGTTCCGGGTATTTATCGATTATGTTATATCCAGGTTTAACTCTATTAAGTATGAATGCGATAGCAACAAATTGAAAGGTCACGCGCAGAATGGAAAGCAGATCGAAACATGCCCCGCGTTCCTCACGCACAAATGACGCACAAAACTTACTCACAGGTATGGATGCACTCGAATGAGCGTCTTATTTGTTACTTTGCTCTGTCTGTAAAGCACGCGCTTTTCGCAAACTGAGATTGCGATGATTTCAGTGACTTTTGTGCACCTGGTAACTACAGCAGAATCGTTCCACGTAAAGCCCGAGGCCAGCCAAGGCCTACGACCTTCACCCTCCTCACCGCCGTGAGATAAGGAGCTTGAGGGAGCATGGCTCCCTTTCTCTAAGCTGGGCAAAGTATGTGTAGGAGATTAGAGCAGGCCCCCACCACACAATGTGTCAATGCCCGCCCATTGCGCCATCTTGCTGATAATCCTGAAAACACAATTCCCCCTTGAGGTGCTTGGGAGCAGCGGTGAGTGGTAGATATAAGTAGCTTGCCGTTAAACGGTGAAGGATGTGCTCCGGGGTGGCTCAGTGGTTAACGCCTCGCGGTTATGACGCAGAGGTCCCATGTTCGATTGTGTGCGGGAAGTGTTTTTTCTGGATTTTTTTTCTTTCTTGCATTTTGATATATATAGATACGTATACATATACGGCACATGACATCGATGCCGGCGACCAAATCCAGCCGAGAATGTCCATATAATTGTTATCGCAATAAAAAGCAATATTGCTCTGAAAGCTTTGCTAGCTTGCTTGCTGTGCGCATGTGCAAAACACCAGCTGTGCAAGGAAAATAACTCCTGCACTCAGTTGAATGGTGATTTTCTAAGCTGTGGCTGTGCCTGCCTGACATTTTGTGTTACGTTTTTTTCCGAGTACAAAACAAATGTGCTGTTACGAAAGAGGCTCACTCATCGTTTTGATGCAGTAGCATTCTGTTTACTTGCGTACATGCCATGCCTGTTTTTCAATTCCCTGCTTCTTTTACAATTCCCTTGCGAATTGTGAGTAGACATGCTCTCATACTCCAACCCGTTTTTTTTTTTTTCTGTTTATAGGAAGAAACTGACAACGTCACTCGGAGAAGAGCAGATTCTGGCCTGTTTCATGATAGCCCTGAAAGTGTGTAAGTAATAATTTGTTACCATATTGCCTTGTACTTTATGGTGACAATATGTGAATTTAGTGCATTTTCTTGCAAGCCCTATTCTTCCTGGGGCGGGCTATGCTTTTGATTTGAGAGCTGGAGTACCAGTTGGACTTAGAGTATGTGTCCAGTAGGACCAACCGTGACCTTCTCGGCAACCTTAAGCTTCTGCAAGTGCCACACAACTGTACTGTGTTGTCACATCCCCCGCCCTCCCACTTCTTTTCTCACTCTTTGAAAATGCTGGCACGTCTGTCTAATCAGTTTCGTCCTTTAGGCCTAGCTTTGTCAAGCCTTCAAACTAGTTTTTAAATGTTTGGTTTGTGTAACCTACTGTGCTCAAGTACCAGTTGAACTAGAGTATGTGTCCAGTAGGACTAACCGTGACCTTCTCGGCAACCTTAAGCTTCTGCAAGTGCCACACAACTGTACTGTGTTGTCACATCTCCCGCCCTCCCACTTCTTTTCTCACTCTGTGAAAATGCTGGCACCATTGTCTAATCAGTTTCGTCCTTTAGGCCTAGCTTTGTCAAGCCTTCAAACTAGTTTTTAAATGTTTGGTTTGCGTAACCTACTGTGCTTAAGATGAAAGGATATTGCAGTACAAGCGAGCCTTGTAATGAGGTTTGTCATAATCTTACACTCTGTTGCAAGAAAAATAATTTTCGGCTGCACATTATCTGACCTTCACTGGAAGCGTTTGTTAGCTTTTCACTTTGCAGTGTGTTACCAAGTGCTAATGAAATTGCGTATCTTCTAACAAGAGATGGGGGGAGGGGCATGGTTTATTTTCGTCGTCTCATGCGTATCTTGAGAATGTTCAGTATGGAGGAGTCGACCTGTTGGTACGTTCATTCAGTCTTAGTCTGCCGGTGGCATCACTTACTTGTGACCTCATTCGTACTTGTCTCAGCTTTTCAAGAAATCCCAATTAAAGCAATCTTCAAAGCAACTAAGGTGTGGCAAACATGCACGGTCCCGTAGATGCTAGTCCCGCATTTGCCTCGGTAAGCTTTGTAATAGAGTTCGTACTGACGCGTGTCTACATGTGGACGAAAATGATGATGGGGGGGGGGGGGGGTTAAGCGGAACAAAGAAGACAATCTTGCGGCTCAGCTGTTAAGAACACGCTGCTTTCGCTGTCTCAAGGCGTGCCTGTGTTTTGTTCGTGTTCTACCGTGACACTGGTGGAGGTTCTGGGTAGCAACCCTGCATGACGCTCCACACTCCCGCTGGGAGCTGTTCATCCAGTCCAAAAGCATTGTCACCTGTTGCAACTCCTGTGCATCGCTTCAGTCGACGGTTGCAAGACCGCGTGCCAGAGCTCACTCCCTCGTTGTAACCTCCCAGGCACCGCTCACCTCAACCAATGGCCAACACAAGCCTCCAACGGGTGTCCCAAGGCAGCTTTCCGACGCACCCATCTCAGGTGACCATCTTTCAACCACTCAAACCCAATCGCTTTAGTGGCGGCGCCCATGAAGACGTCGACTGGCTTGTCCGCTACAAGCGTATTGCCAAGATAAATCAGTGGCCGGAACAGGAAAAGCTTTCTTGTATCTATTTCTACCTTGACGACAGTGCTCGTCTTTTGTATGAGAATAAGAAGCCAATCTGGGGGCGGGGATCAACTTGGCCCGAATTTCAACAGCAGTTCATCGATACCTTCGGAAATGTCGATCGATGGAACCGTGCGCAGCAGTTATTGGAGCTACGGGTTCAAAAACTTAACGAAATCGTTGCAATGTTTACCGAGGACATGTCTCTTTCGTCGAGCTAACCCGCACATGACTGAAGATAAAAAGCTGAGTTACGTCATGCGCACTGTCGAGGAACAGCTTTTCGCCGGGCTACTGCGCAACCCTCCAAGTACCGTGGTTGACTTTATTAAGGAGGCTATGGCTATCGAGCGGGCCCTTCATCAACACTGCTGGCAATATGACTGCATGTCCAACAATCTCCCAATCAATGCTATCACCACGACGTCTGAGAGTCAAAGCTTCTTGTGAATCTTGATAGGGAAAAAGTTCGTGAAGAACTGCAAAAGTTCCGGCTTCTGGTTGTTGAAACTCCCATTGCGTCAGTCCTCGAAGTCGTACGTGACGAAATCCGCCAAGCGATGTCTACGGCTGGTCCTGATGCTGAGCAGCGTCGCATGAGCTACGCTGCTGCTCTCCGACGTCCACCACCCGCTACGCCGACGTCGTACCACCAGGAGCCAATGGCCCTTTGGTCACCGCCGCAAGAGCAGACACTACAGCAATCACCCATGCTACAGCCATACAACCAGCCCTCCACATGCACACCATGGGCATTGACGCCAGGGGGATGCTCAGACGTCCACCGACCCGAAGAACAGATGCACAGATGCATGGCGCACAGTCGACAGGCGTACACTATGCTTTCACTGCGGAGGTGCAGGCCATATTGCTCGTCGTTGCTGGCATCGAGGTGATTAATTTCGTCCTCTTCAATCTTGGTTTGACAGTCGACGTGCCAACGACAAATACACTCCACGCTACGACACCTCTTTTAATGGAGTGCGTTCTCACTTTGAGGACGGCTGTACCACTACAGAGGAGGCAATGTCTGTTCACCGACCTGGTCTGGGACATCGATTCCGCTCTGCATCTCCTACGCGTTCACCTTTGTGGCACCGCCGCACCTTTGCCGACCTTAATACAAGAAGGTCACCTAGCCCGCGCCGAGGAAACTGAGGGCGGCGACCTCTGGGGGCAAGGTTGCACGCCATGAAGATGACGAAAAATAGCCTTTACTGCATGACGTCGTGCAGCCGATAAGCTGTGAAAGCAATGAAATTGTGACTGCTGACATTAGTATTCTTCTTGACGGCCAGAAAGTGACAGCTTTAGTCGACACCGGCGCCGACTTCTCTATTATCGGTCAGGACCTCGTCAACTGCCTCAGAAAAGTGAGGACTCCGTGAACGGGCTCTCATATAAGAATGGCAGGAAGCCAGTTATTGATGCCCTCTGGAAGATGTACAGCAAGAATTGACATCAGAGGTTCTCCTTTCATAGCGTCGTTCGTCGTTATCGCCGCATGCTGCAGAGATGTAATCCTTGGCATGGATTTTTTACGAGAATATGGCGCCATCATCAACATCCCAGAAGGTTTAATTACTTTATGCTACAGTTCGGGCTTTTTCGATTTTCCAGAGGCGCGAACAAACCAACTGCGTCTTATTGATGACGACGTGGTCCTCTCTCCTAGGTCATGCACGCTTGTTTCTGTGGCCGCCGGTGTCCAGTTTGACGGCGAAGGAGTCACAGACCAAATAAGCTCGCTTCTCTTCAGCCACGGTATTTCCGTTGCGCGGGGTATCGTCAGAGTTGCTGCTAGATGCACGGACTTGCTGCTGACCAATTTTAGTGCTGAGCGCCGGTACCTTCCAAAAGGCACGGCTGCCTTTTTTTCGGCGATGTCATAGGTGCTGAAGGTTGCTTGGTGGTAGTCGACGAGGCGCTAAAACTCGATTCAGCGCCTGTTCTGGACCTTAGCATTACTTTGCCAGAAGAGGAGCGACACAGACTCCTTGAGCTATTGGCCGAATACCAAGACTGCTCTTCGACAACATCAAGAGTTGGCCGCACGGCTCTAACCAAGCAACGGATAATTACCGAGGAAACGGCGAGACCTATTCACCTATTTTACTCTGGTCCTGGTTAAGAAACAGGACCGAAGCCTGTGCTTCTGTGGGGATTACAGGAAGCTAAATCAGGTGGCCAAGAAATACGTATATCCACTACCCCGTATAGACGACTGTCTTGACAGACTTCGACATGCTCGGTGCTTCTCTTCAATGGACTTGCGAAGTGGATATTGGCAAATCGAGATGGACTCCAGAGACCGTGAGAAGACTGCTTTTGTGACACCAGATTGGTTATATGAATTGAAGGTCTTGCCATTCGGTTTGTGTGCAGCTCCTGCTACCTTTCAAAGAGTCATGGATACCGTGCTTTCCGGGTTGAAGTGGAAAACCTGCTTAGTATATCTGGATGATGTCATAGTGTTCTTCGCAACGTTTGACGAGCACATTGAAAGGCCTGAAAAGGTCTTATGCACCATACGGTTTGCAGGCCTGACATTGAAGCCTGGGAAACGCTACTTTTGCTACAAAGAGCTGCAATATCTTGGTCACGTAGTCAGTCATGCAGGTGTTCGTTCCGATCCTGAAAAAATGGCAACGTTGCACAGTTCCCTGTGCCGACCTATAAAAAGGCTGTCAGACGCTCTCTCGGCCTCTGTGTATATTATCGACAATTCATCGCGGACTTTGCAAGCATCGCATCACCATTAACTCGCCTCATGAGAGAAGACGTCACCTTTGAGTGGAAGAACAAAGAAGCTGCTTTTAACGATTTATGCCAGCAACTAAAAACACCTCCTGTACCTTGCCCACTTTGACGAGAAAGCCCCTACGATGCTTCACATCGATGCTAGCAATGTAGGTCTGGGAGCTGTGCTTGTGCAGCAGCAAGAGGGCACAGCAAGTTTCATTGCCTATACCAGCAGAACACTAACATGCGACGAGGATAATTACTCCATGACTGAGAAGGGATGTCTCGCCGTGTTATAGGCAGTTACAAAATTTCGCCCGTATTTATATGGCCGCCCCTTCAATGTAATTAGCAACCACCAAGTCACTGTGTTAGTTAACGAATCTTAAAGACCGTACTGGCTCATTAGCGTGTTGGAGACTCGGGCTGCAGGAGTTCGATATGGCAATCGTACATAAGTCAGGGAAGCGACATTTGGATGTTGACTGTCTTTCCCGTTCACCCATTGAGTCGGCAACCCTGTCCGAGGAGGAGGAAACAGCATTTCTCGGTGTCCTCGACACGACCTCTATTGCGCAGCAACAACGGGACGGCGCTCAGTTGCTTGGCTTAATTAACTACTTAGATAGCAGATCTCAGAAGTCTCCAAGAGTTTTCGCAAAAGTGTTGTCATATTTTTGTTTTCGGAGTTGAGTACCCTACAAAAAAAAACTTTTTTGTCGACGGATCTGCTTATCTGCTCGTCATCCCAGCAGCTCTTCGCACCGAAGTACTCAAAGCATGCTACAGTGAGGTGACTTCTGGCCATTTGGGTTACACGAGAACATTGGCCAGAGTACAGCAAGGGTATTACTGGCCAAGACTAACCACAGCCATGAAGCACCACGTTTGTACATGTCTCGACTGCCAGTGACCCAAGTCACCACCGACTAAACCAGCTGCAACCGGTGCAGGTCCCAACGACTCCATTTGACCAGACTGGCATGGACATTTTGGGCCCACTACCTACTTCTACTACAGGGAACCGCTGGGTTATCGTCGTGACGGTCGTGACGTGACGGAAGTGGCAAGATCTTCCATCGAGAATATTGTACTGAGGCATGACGAACCAATCGTCGTGATCACGGACAGAGGAACCGCATTTACGGCAGCTCTTTTGGATCACGTCCTGATGCTGTGTGGAACAATGCATTTTAAGACCATCGCCTACCACCCATAAACGAACGGGCTGACAGAGCGTCTGAAGAAAACCATTGAAGACATGCTTTCGATGTATGTAGACGTTGAACACAAAAGTTGGGGTGAAATCTTGCCTTACATAACGTTTGCATACAACACGGCCAAGCAAGAAATGACTTGTATGACCCCGTTCAGTCTCGTTCATGGACGAGAAGTATGAACCATCTTAGATGCGATGTTACCGCACGAAGGTGGTGACATTGATCCAGATGCCGACACGTTTATGGAACGCGTGAAAGAAGCTAGGCAACTTGAATGTTTACGAATCCACCTAGCAGCAAGAGTACGATGCAAGCCGCTACAATGCTCACCGCAGAACAGTCGTCTACCGAACTGGCGACAAATTATGGGTTTGGACTCCCATTCGGAAACGAGGACTTTCCGAAGAGCTCTTAATTAAAGAAGATAATTTGGATCATACCGAGTGCTGCGACAACTGAGTGATGTCACTTACGAAGTCGTTCCCGACAGTTCGTATAGTACGAGGCATCGCCAGCACCATCCTGAACTTGTTCACGTAGTGTGCATGAAGCCTTACATCAGCGAGTGATTGCGTGAGACTTTTCTTAAAAAAAAAAAAAACTGCATTACTGACTTCGCATCGGGGTGATGCTCTTTGACAGGGAGGCAAATGATGCGTGTCTACGTGTCGACGAAAACGATGATGGGAGGGGATTTGAGGGACACCTGGTAGTGGGCCTCTGGCTTTACTCGAGAACGAAGAGTACAATCTTGTGGCTCAGCTGTTGAGAACATGCTGCTTTCGCTGTCTCAAGACGTACCTGTGTTTTGTTCGCGTTGTACCGCGGCAGTACGTATCACCCCCTGTACTGCGTATTCTTCACAGTAAAAGCCTTTTGTTGTTTTTTCATGACAGCACTTGCTCATTGCCACGGGGCCCTGGACACCATGTTGACTTACATAAGGTGGGACAGCGAGTCTAATCTAAAGGTAATGATTTATTTTGTCTGCTCATAAGTATAAACTCTCAAGGTATTTGATTTCTTTAAAGGGATACTGAACAAAATCTTTGCCGCCAAAATTATCAGCCAGATCAATAGATTGGATGCTGAAATCGATACAGACAACCTTCATTCCAAGCAGAAACTGCGGAAAAATAATGCACTTAACGGGTCTTTCACAAACTGTCGTGTCTAGCAGCGGTTTGAACGAAAGGATGTGACGTTGGGTGACGTCAAACTGGCAAGCCAACAATGCTAGCTATTGCATGCGGCTCTGGACTTGCTCACTTTCCACTTTGGTTTCCAGAACCTGTATGAACAGCAACAGCAACGAACAATGCTTCCGGCTGGGGCATAGCGCAAGCGCTTTTGTGGAAGGGAAAGAGCAGAGTGAAAGGACTGCAGGAGAAAGAGGAGGATGAAAACGCGTGCATCCTGATGCGCCCCAGTGTGTTTGACGTCACTGCTCGGGCTTGCGAGCAGCCGCCGCGCACTCACAATATATGAAAAAATACAACAAACTGTTAAAAAATATGAAATAAACTCCGTTTATCAGAACAGTGGCATCTTTTGAGTGGAATTTTGAAGTTCCGTTAGTTTTTCCAATTTTTGTTCAGTATCCCTTTAATACAGTCGAATCCCTTTATAAGAAACACTGATATTAGAGGCAAATGGCTACGAGAGACACAAGTATGTCTACATGTAAATAGGGGTTAAGAAAATGAATATGTGGGTACCCTGCTTATATAAGATACAAGATTGGCTGCCCGGTATATGTGTCTTAAAAAGAGGTTCAGCTTTATTGATTATTGAATTTTTAGGCGTTTGGGAAAATTTCAAAGTAGGAAACATTTGTTGAATATTGCAATCATAATATTCGTATTCCATTCGAAAAGCACATATTTCAAAGTTTCCTATATTTCAAGTAACTTGAATATTGAGCCTTTTCGAAAACTCAGTTGGATATGTACCGTAAAGAACTTTCGATTTCGTGCTTTTACGATAAGTGCATCAACAGTAGACATGCAGTGACCACTCCTACTTCGGTGCGCGGGCTGTGATGGCTGCACGGAAATGGACGGGAGCGTGGTGACAGCTACTGACGAATGCGCCAGCACATCATCGCGACAAATCTACCAACAATGATAATCTAGATCGTGAACTGAACTGCCTCCTGGGCCGTATATGTGGCTTAGCGGTCTAGCGCTCTTATCACTTGCATAAGTGTACGGTAAACGTACTGAACACTCGTCGTTCGCTACTGCACCGTTGTGTGCAGGACTACTTTAATAAAGTGTGCATTGCTTGTGGAAATCAAGGCAGCTCGCTGTGTTGCATTGATGAAATACTTATCGCACCCTTGTATGGTTTGAAGCTCATCGAGCACTAAGAAAAAGACGTCCCTGCAGAAATGCAAATGCACACGTCTTTACAGTGAGCGGCCACGACGCAGTGAGCTTAGTAGGCAACGTACTACACGCTACCAGCTATAGACGCTCAGCTGGACGTTGCAGCTGGCAACGCTTATCATGTGTAGCTACATTTTCGCTTATGAATCACCACATAAACTTGAGCACACGCATTGACGAAATCCTGCTGAGTCTTCCATAAGTTGTGCCACTCTGTGAAGATGTATTAATTCCCTGTCCAGTAGTTCTGAAGTGATGCAATTGTAACGCACAATTATGCGAATGAGCCAAAGTGTTTTGTGAAGCCGCCAAATACACACCGGTGCTTTTAACGAAATGCTTTATCGAATATGCATGCATTCACTGTTTTCGTTTGCCTTTATCAGGCAAATAATTACAATGATGTATGAAACAGTGGAAATGGCAGGAGTGAAGAATCGGGGCACATATTTCGAAATCTTCCAACAAAGGAGGAGGGCGCTTGCTCAGGTAGGGGCGCTTGCTAGAGATATTGTGGTAGTAGGTTAAGTGTTCCGTTTTTAACTTCATAGGCACAGGTTAAATTCGCGCCCACTCTTTAGTGAGTACGAAATGCCTGAACACCTACACGGTCTGATTTAGGTGCACCCCTAAAGCCCCAAGGGGTCAGGATCAATTCAGAGTTCCCATAATGCCATGTGCCTCACGATGAAGGGTTGGTTTGGCAAATAAATCCTCAGATTAGTGTTTATCTTCCATAGTACTCTAGGCTAGTGTAGATGAAAAATAAGAGAGTGGCATGTAGCGGAAGAGTACCAAAGAAATGTTTGTAGTCGCTTGGAGGAAGTAGATAAATTTATTGCACTTTGCTTAATTATATGAACTGTTGATAAACCAACTTTTTAATATATAATTAGAGTGTCTATGCGGGCGTGTATTGTGACTTGTGTCCTTTCTGTGGTTACACTATGGGGCGGTACGAAAGCTACACGGCTGCTTTCAAGTTGGAAATGCTCGATCTTGTGCTTAACGATGGCAACAGGGCTGCCAGTAGGCAATTCAGAGTCGAGTATTGTTTGCTACTGGTGACAACACGAGCAGCTTAAAGCCACTGATGCATTGGGCCTTCTGTGTGTCTAAGGCTGCGATGCATGGCAAAACTTTATTTTGTCGGATGAAAGCATCGCGGACGATTCCGTGTTAGATGGTCGTCAGCTCGAAATTGACATCGTACGCTGACTTTTTGCAGGCCCTTGTTGAGTGATGAATGCCCACAATGCCTACAAGCTTTTTGTACGGTATTCTTATTCTCTACTTTTTGCTTGTGGCTTTTGTGCCTCAAATAAATCTTATGTTGTGTTGAACTTGTGGTTTTATAGTTAAGGTGAGTCTTAATTAGTACTTCACAAAACTTTCAGTTAGTTGCTGGCGTGAGAATCCCGATTAGCATGCACTTCGTTTCCCATTTTACTCTGTACGTTTTGACGAAAAAATTTCCCGCGCAATTCTCGGACCCCTCCCCTAACTTTTCATCCATTTTCTGTGAAAAAAAAGTGCAAGGATTATGCAAGTAAATACAGTATACACTTGTAATTGCATGTCCGTAGAATGGTGCAGTACGCATTCCTGACCATTATTTTTTTAGATAGGACACGGAGTAACTTCACATTGATGGATCCACTGGTGGACAGTGGATTCCCTTTATATCAGACACTGATGTAAGAGATTATTGGGTATAAGAAACACCAGTGTGCCTGTAATAAAATGGGGCTTGATAAGAAAGTGCATATGTGGCATTCTTCTTGTAAGGGGGACCTCATGTAGAGAACAAGAATTGCTCCCCGGAACCCCCTTATGGGAGGCATAGGGGGATTCAACTGTACAAGACGCGCTTAACACGAGAGCGCATGGCGCCACGAGTTCAAAGACCGCACATGGCTTCAGCTTGTTTTTATTAGAACTAAATGTTATTTCTTTATTTGGGATCATTTCAAAGTAAGGAGAACCGCATCTAGTTATAGAGATAAGGGCCAGTGGACGCCATGCGTAATTTTTGAACTCTTGAAGCCTCGTGCTCTTGTGTTGATTGTCATATCGAGCAAGACTGTGCAATATAATACAAATATGGACAAGAAACACAGGGCCACATATTTACAGCAAGTGCAAATTTTCAATACGATTGTTTATGTGCTCCGTGGACTGCGCGATGCAGTTGAGCGTAGCACCTGTGGTGTCTGGTGCCGCGTTCCTTGTTTGCGTTTGCCTTATTTTTCACTCTGATTGCTTTGTTATTTGCCAGCGATTCCAATAACTTATCGTCCTCAATTTTCTCGTTTTCAGGGGAGTCGTGCAGACGAGCTCAAGCAATGCGGAAATATAAAATACAAGGAAAAGGCATATCAGGAGGCTTTTGTATACTACACGAACGCGATTGTAGATATGTAAGCTTCTGACCTAAAAAAAAAGTTTTTAAATCTTAGCTTATGTGCATTGTTCTGTGCTTTGTGAGGGTATGAATGGGCTATCAGGTGTCCTTTTTTTTTTTCCTCGTTATTTTTCTTTTTCAGGCGCCAATCATGGTCTGTATTGTTGTTCATCGTGAATATTGCGTGCCTTTGGCTAGTGTATTATGAAACTGTCCATTGCTTTAACTAACATTTTCAGAAAGATTAGCATAATTCACAGTGCCATCACATAGTCACTTTCAAGCACGGTTGTGACCATTCTGAATTACACTTCATTCCACTCATGTGCTGCAACAAGGTCGGCAAGCAGACCTGATCAACACGGATATGATGGGGCTTCTTAATTGCTTATTTGTCGGCATCCTCCTGTTCCTTGAATCAGTTAGAAGTAGTAAATGAGTTTCAATGAAACCACTTTAAAAAAAAAGGGGGGGGGGAGGTAGGTGGGGAAGGGGGCTTTACGTAAGCATATGCTTTAATATTCAGATATCTGTGTGTGCATATTACCCCAATTGGAATTTTTAGCTGCGTTCTTATGCAATGGTTGCGCTCAGGAGGGGAGTAGCAGCCTGCAGTGCATGCTGGTTTCTGGTGAAATCGCTTATTCAGGGAAAATCCACAGTGTCCCAAAGCAACAACACAACCGAAAAAGTTTACGGACCACGTGAGCATGTAACAGGGAGCCTCTTCACGACATTTTCATTATGTAAGCGGTGATGACCAGCAGTGTAATGTCCTAGGCTCATCCATTCCTAAATTCATGAGCTGAACAGTTTACCACTCGACTCCAGTACTAATTTTCAACGGTCTTTGGCAACTGTGGCTGTGGGCTGTCTCTAGAGCAGTCTATCAGCCTATCTGCGATCAGTCTGTCTTTCTCATTGATATCTACCCAATAGCGACCATGGTAGCATACTTTACTATGCACACCATGGTCGCATTTGATTCTGCTATCAAAGTGTTGATACATGGAACAAAAAAATTAAGGATGTGCTGTGTGGCAGTAAAAAAATTGATATAACCGCGAACAACAACACCCGTTCCCACCCCAGCTTTGCGGTCGATGGTAGGCAGCACGTACCAGCAGTTCGGTATCTGCTAATGTTTTTATTCTGTTATGTTAGTTTTTTGTCTACCCTACAATGTAACAATTTATTGCAAGGCAGTAGGTGCCTACCAAACGTGGCTTCCTCTATAGACTTCTATTAAACAAAACTCTCTTAAATTAAATTGCTGCTTAAATGGAACAACTGATACCAATATGTTTGGTTTCATACTTGAATATTATACCACTGTTTATCTCTCAGTAAACGAGACTTCTCTTAAAGGAAATACAATTTACTGGTCCGTTCGGGTTTCGTTTAAAAGCAGTCTATTGTATATATTGGGGCTTGAAATGGTTCAGGCCTACAACTGAACTAGAATGGCAGCAATAACAAAGACATTGCCTGTGTCTTTCACAGTGCAGAAAATTTCAGAACCTGAGGTATTTCGGTGTACTTACTGGGCGAAGCCATGTTGTTGCACACTTGCTGAAGACAAGGCTGATTTTCTGTTTTGGCAACCCTGGTATCTATCAACTGCCATGACAGTTACATTCCGATTTGGACAAAATGCGGAAATTCTCGCGTGAGTTACATAGAGTTGAAGTTAAAAAAAGAAACTCCTGGTGCTCAAAACTGCTTGAAGTGCACCACAAATCTGGTGGCACAAATTACACTGGAATTAAAGTTTTTCCAGGGAAGTTAAAGTTGTCACTTGAGCGTGTCCTTTGTATGCAACGGTTCATTCTCGGATGTTAGTGCCATGCTAGATTTGTTTTTAAAATTCAACGAGTTCATCTTTGTTGTATTGCAGTTTGACTGTGCTGAATTACGATGAAATGAAATCTTAACAGGTGTTTGATCTGGTAAGACAGATTAGTTGGCGGTGTCAGTCTCCCACAGCGTATTTTCTCGTGCATAACCTGCTCGTGATTTTCAGAAAATCTTCAACTGAAATTGGGGTGCAGGTTACCCATGATATTCAATGTGCACAGCAGTGTTGGTTTTTTTTTCTTCCTTTGCGGATTGTTAAGGCTGTGATCTACAAGCAGCTGTCTGTCATGTGTGAGAAAATACGGTACACTAAAGTAGTTTGTGCTTTTTGCCATCTGCGTGACATGCCCTTGCTCCACGACAGGCGCTTCAGCCACATCTTGTACAGCAATCGAGCACTGAGTGCACTCCAACTACAGAAGTTCAAGGAGGTGGAACTGGACGCTCGCCGTGCTGTAATCCTCCAGCCGAATTTCGGGAAGGTAATCAATATATTTGGCTCTTTTCTTTATCCCTTCCAAAACAACAGTTTCATGTTTTGCAGCTCGTGTTGAAATCATGCATGAGTGTAGAAATGCAGTACTCGCAGGGAAGTCACTGCTTTTGCCAAGGGGATGCTTTCACAACTTAGTGCATCAGAAGAGTTCAATGCTTATTGCGCTTAAACTTGTCCAAAAAACTGTATACATAACTACCGAATGCTTGCATTCAGCCCGAATTTAGAGGGTGTTGACAGTAAAGTACAGGAAAACCTCGTTAATTCAAAAGTTACTGGGACTGTGAAAATTCTTCGAATTAAGTGGATGTTTGGATAATGAAACATACAAAAAGGGGTATGCAAGGAACTTTCAAATATTGAAAGTAGTTTGTGGCGGTCGTCTTCTAAGCTGCCTAGTTTGCAGCTCCAGAGGTTACGTTTTCTGGCAGTACTTGGTCCCAGTTGTGCTGCAAACGAAGAGAAACGCAGCCTTCGCTGCTGTTGGCGTAGCCGTAAATAAATAAATAAAAATGAAAAAGCTGATCGTGGTCGGGTAAAATGTGCGCTGGCGGTAACGAAGACATGCTTCACTGCAATACAGTGGTGACACGCGGGCAGCCTGTCACCTGCTTCTTCACAGCATTGGCTACCATTCGCTCATTCTTTCTGATAAAAAATTTAATAATGGCCAGTGCAACCGAATTCACGGTGTCTTCTAGCTGGAAAACATGTCCTTTATTACAAAAGTGTTTTATGTCGGGGTCCATCACGGCTCCACTGACATACTTCTATCACAGATATGACGTAAAATACATTGCAGGATCATGAGTGGGCCCCAAAGCGTCCGTCAATTCGTCTGTGTACCAGTCCATTTCTAGTGTGCCGGTCCCTCTGTACGTGTGTCTGTCCATCCGTTCATTTAGTAATAAACGCTTTGAGTAGTACCGCTATCTCACTTCTTTTTATCATATTGTGAGCATTATCTATGCGTCCCATCTAATCTGTACATACTCATCATCACCACTCCAGTTTTGGTTGTGGGGCATCTACTCGAGACAATAAAGAAGTCTTAAGGGTCTTGGACACTGTCTTACAAGTGGTGGAGAGTGCTGCCCAGTCCCTGCATCCTCTCGCACTCTTGGACACCCCCAGAGTCTTCTAGAACACATTCCTGGAGCTCCGTTCAGGCCGCTGCTTAAATGACCTTGATTCAGTAACGACCCAAGCCGACCAGCCCAGTGCGGCCGCTTCGCCACCGCTCCCACCGCCAAGAAACCCTTCTCACCTGGTCACCAACCCTCAAAAGGATCCTCCGCTGTTCGCAGGCCTTCCTGGTGAGGACGTTGAAGACTGGCTCAAGGAGTATGACCGTGTGAGTGCCATCAACAACTGGGATGAGCCTGCGAAACTCGCCCACGCTGCATTCTACTTGAGCGGCGTCGCAAAGACGTGGTTTTTCAACCACGCTACCGATTTTCCGACATCACCCGCCTTTACACATCAGCTCTGGGAGATTTTCTCCAACCCCTCAGTGCGCTCGGATATCGCCAAGAAGAGGCTTGGTGCACGTGTTCAACGCCCCGGCGAGTCTTATACTTCCTACATTGAGATGTTCTCGCCCTGTGCCGCCGCATCGACAGCTATATGGCGGAAAACGACAGTGCGCACCACCTGCTCAAAGGCATCGCGACAGTCACTTTTAATGCACTTGTGGTGCGGAACCCCCAGATCGTAGCCGATGTTGCTACCTGTCAGCGTCTTCAGGAGCTTCAGGCCACTCGGGTGCAACCCGATACGTCTTATCTCAACTCGAGCTAAGACACAACAGAGCTGCGTGAATATATCCCCTTTATCATCCGCGAGGAACTTCATGCACAGGCTTCACCTCGCCACCTTGATATTTTAATGACGCCACCTGCAACTAGTTTACGCAACGTCGTGAGGGAGGAACTGGCCTTGATGACTGGCACACCAGTTCCGAGCTCACATCCTGTGCCCATACCAAATTATGCTCACGTTCCTGCAATGACAGCTGGGCCCCACCAAAGCCTGGCCTCGATGACTGACGCATCTGTTCTGAGCTCACATCCCGTGTCTATGCCTACTTATGCTCAGGCTGCTGCTATGACACCTGCACCCCAGCAAAGTTCAATGCAGCTACCAGCGCCCGGAGTGCATGGTTCGCTCAACTCACTCGCACCGCGAGCATCTGCCTAGCCTTACAACGCCTGGCGCACTACGCGGCCGACTTGATTTTATTGCGGCGTCCGTGGTCATATTTCAAGGTTCTGCCAATGCCGTCAGCAAGACCAAAGACACAGCTACGATGACTTTGAACGGGACAATTTCTACACCACTGGACCGCCCTATCGCTGGCTGTATCAAAACAGCGCACCGTCAGTCGCCGTCTCCGCTGAACTTCGACTCGGTTAATAGGCCCCGTTTCTCGCGTCATCGCTCCCCTTCACCGATGCAATGTTCCTTTTCTCCACTTCGACCTTCTACTTCAATTCCCAACCGCCAACTGGAAAACTAAATAGTGCAGCTTCGGGAGGGAAAGCTGCATCTGTCAAACTGCGTCAAACTCCTCCGGACAGCCTATCAAATGTTTTATTAGTGTATGTTGAAGGTATAGAGACTGAGGCACTGGTAGACACAGGCGCATCTTTTTCCATAATTCGTGCAGACTTTTGTGCCAGCTTGAAAAAAGTTAGGACGCCTTACGATGGGCCTCCCCTTCATTGCGCAGGTGGAGTCCCTATTCGGCCTTCAAGTGTTTGTACCGTCTGCATTTTCATAGATGGCATCCTTCACCACATTCAGTTTTTTGTACTTTCTTTGTGCACTCACACACTCATTTTAGGATGGGACTTCCTTTCTTTGGCATCAGCTTTCATATTGTGCCGTCAGTGAGTAATTCATATGTCAGCTAATGAGAGTTCATCCAATGTCGATCCATACAGCTTCCGTTTCGTTGCTGCCGATGATTGTTTCATTTCGCCTGCACTTGGCCTTGTGTGGTTTAACGACAATAAAGCATTGGTTCCCGCCTTCCAACTTCTTCGCCAATGATGCTACCCCAAGGCACTGCTGTGAGTTGCTTCCCTGACAGCAAGCCTTCTGCGCCGATTCCCCTTCTTGCAGAATCACAGTGTTTGTCTGCTTCAACTGATACCAAGGCTACCACTCTTGCTTTAAATGCTATCATAAGTCCTCCCCTCACAGCCGAGCAAAAGAGAGACCTCTTAGACCTTCTCCAAAAGCACAGCCTTTCGTTTGACGTACGTTCCAAGGTTCCGTGCCGCGCCTTCGTTGCGGAGCACAGCATCGAAACCGAAGGTCGCCGCCCTACCTTGTGTCTTCGGCGGAACGGCAAATCATCGAGGAAAACGTCGCCGACATGCTCAAAGGGGATATTGTTCGACCTTCATCCAGCTCTTGGTCGTCCCCTGCGGTGTTGGTACGGAAAAAAGGATGGTTCTGTCCACTTTTGTGTTGATTACAGTGCGCTCAATAAGATCATGAAAAAAACATGTATATCCGTTGCCACGCATAGATGATGCCCTCAACTTCCTACAAGGTGCAGAGTATTTCTGCTGTCTCGACCTTCGATCCGAGTATTGGCAAATGCCTATGCGCAAAGCAGACAAGGAGAAAGCAGTGTTTGCAAGGCCATACAGGCTTTACGAGTTTAATGTCATTCCTTTTAGCTTATGCAACGCTCCGGCAACATTCAAGCGCATGATAGATACTGTCTTACGTGGTCTCAAGTGGAAAACCTGCTTATGTTATTTAGACATCATAATTTATTCTTCCACTTTTCCTCAGCACCTTAAGCATTTGGACAAAGTTCTAATGTGCATTTCGAACACTGGCCTTCAGCTCAATACAAAGAAGTGCCACTTTGCTGCACAAACATCAAAGTATTGGGTCACCTTGTAAGCAAAGATGGTGTTCGACCCGACCCAGACAAATTCGCTGCCATAATTAGTTTTCTTCATTCGGGCAATCAAAAACAATTGCAAAGTTTCTTGGGCCTGGCGTCTTACTTCCGCCGCTTCATCAGTCACTTTGCTGCCATTGCGGGTTCGTTACACAAGCTTCTGACGTCGGGAAAGGCCTTCACTTGGACTGACGAGTGCGAGTGTGCTTTCAAAGCCCTTAAACGTGCTTTGACATCAGACCCCGTCTTCCGTCACTTCGACGAGAGTGCTCCCACTTTTTTGCACACAGATGCTAGCGGCCACAGAGTCCGTGCTGTCCTCCTCCAGCGCGACGACACTTCACGTGAACGAGTAGTTGCGTATGCCAGCCGCGCACTAACAACCTGCGAAGCAGAACTACTCGATAACAGAACAGGAATGTCTCGCTGTCGTTTGGGACATCCAGAGATTTCAACCTTATCTGTATGGACGCCACTTCACTGTGATTACCGACCACCATGCTCTATGCTGGTTGTCTTCACTGAAGAATTTGTCTGGGCGCCTCGGTCGCTGGATACTTCGTTTGCAAGAGTACACTTTTGATATTGTGTACAGGTCCGGCAAACAGCATCAAGATGCCGACGCTCTCTCTCGCTGCCCGCTGCTACTTTCATCTCCAACCACGCATCTTGAGTGCCCTTCAGGTGATCAAGCAGCTTCCCCATCACTCACGTTATCACCCCTGGCAGTTGCTGGGTCGCTATCTTTAAACAGCAGCGCTCAGTTTGCCACCACCTACTGTAATTGCATCATCGAATACTTGAATTGCTTGCCTTCTCCACCTAATGCCAGACTACGTCGTCAGCTACGGCAGTTCGAGCTAGAGAACAATGTCCTGCAGTGTTGTCTTACAATGCTAATGGGCATCGGTGGGCTCCAGTACTTCCCCATTCGCTGTGAAAACAAGTTCTCGAAGCATTGTAAGACGACCCATCAGCTGCTCACTTAGGATTTCAGAACTACAACCGCGTTAGGAGCTGTTTCTTCTGGCCTGGTCTTTCTACCTTTCGGGCTAAATATG